TGGTTGGAAAACAATCTATTCTATGCAGGAGTAATGAAATATCCTAATCCACAATCGAAGTTTAGAATGTATATGCGATAATACGTAGCTACTTTACAATTGAACGTCAAGATTGAAGAAAATTTGGAAAAACTGTTAACAAGCTGCCTATTCAGAGTAAAAATTTTTAAATATATTATTGGACAATTGAAACCTAGAATCTACTACAGTCGACGATTGGAGACTATGCAGTAGCATTACACGATCTGCACTCACACCACTTCATGTCGCACATGTCTCGTTATACAATTGGCACTATGTCACATCACTTTTTTCTACACGTAGTATATTACCACCAAAGAAATGTTTACAATTAGTAATCGTGAACTTCGTAAACTTCTCACAATTTATTAAACTGTTGCTGTGCATAGTCGTAAATATTACAATAATGTTGCAAACGTAACCTACAACTGTAATGTCGCGAACTAATACCCGACACGTCGCGTTATGCTGTTTAAATATGTTTCCTTAGTTGTAGCAATTAAAACTTTAGTCAACGATATCACTATTTCACGAAACGTTTTCTCGAGACATAGAAAGTTTCTCTTTTACGCGCGAAAGTATTCCGCCATGTGTTACCGATACGTTCGTTGTGGCATCGACTAGAAGGTGGCGACGGTTGGCCAAGCTATGCGTTGTAGGCGCGGAAAGATATTTCATCCTTGAAATAGCCATACGCTAAAGTATCAATGTAGAATATGAAACAATGTCTCTTATGTTTATTAATGTCAATGAATCAAATACAAATATATTTCTGTTACGAAAATGACAAATTAAAGAATGAATTATTATAACAAATTAAAGAAATGACGATATCGAGTCTACTTTATATCTCGTGTATGTCGGTAGTACTTGAATGCGATTTATTGAATATTTTCAATGCTTCTCGCGATTATCTATTTATACTATATATTTTTTTAAATACAACCAATATTAATAAGTTTCTATACTACCTCTGTACTTTAAGCACCATGTACCCACCGTCGATAATTTCTCAATTGTCGGATATGTAGAAATTCTCTGCTCTTTAATATCAATCTGTTTCGAACATTACACTTATCGATATCTTAATTCAAAGTCAATGGCATTAGAAATATTTCTTAGGAAGCGAAAGATAATTAATAAGGAAGATTCAGTAATTGATTCTACTTTTCGAATATAAAGAAACGAGAATAAATTATAAACTATGTATCCGCAAAATTTACGCATTCCATTTTCGCATGTATTATTTATATGACCATAAATTTTTACTCTATCAATCAAAAAGAAGTAACATATTCGGCCAAGCAAGGTACAAATAACATAATCGTTAACTAGAAGTAATTCCCTCTTGTAAATCTATATAAGCTATTCCCGAGGTGAGCAATTTAAATAAATTTAAGTGATCGTTGAATTATATAAGAATCATCTTTGATTCGAGTGGTAAAATATATGTTCCACAAAGCAACTAATTCCCAAAGCGAAAAGCAATCACTCGTAAGAGCATAGCAGTCGCAAATGACTGTCTGGTAATTTCTGAACATCCGCTGTTAGATAGCGACTATTTCGCTATTCGGGCGTGTCTATTGTAGATTTCGATCGCGGCTTGAAAAATTGCAATCCATCCTGTTAAAGTGAAAAGTTTTCTATCTAGTGTACTCATTTTTTTTCAAATTCGAGTGTTATTTTTCGAAAAATAGGGCCGGAAGTGTATGTGGGTGACAGGTCTTCCGACGGGTTCCGCTGTTCGGGCGTGTCTATCGTAGATTTCGATCGTGGCTTGAAAAATTGCAATCCACCCGGTTAGAGTGAAAAGTTTTCTATCTAGTGTACTAATTTCTTTTCAAATTCGAGTGTTATTTTTCGAAAAATAGTGCCGGAGGTGCGAGCGTGTTTCGAATCGTACTGCGCAATTAGCTTTCCGGGCTTGGCTTTGCTAGATTTCCATCGTGGCTTGAGAAATTACTGTCCATCCTATTAGAGTGAAAAGTTTTCTATCTAATGAACTATTTTTTTTTTCAAATTTCTATGTTATTTTTCGAAAAATAGTGCCGTAAGTGAGGGTGGGTGATAGGTCGTGTGGCGCATTTAGATATTCTTTCCTGTGTCTCATCGATTTCAAGTATGGCTTGGAAAGTTTCAATCTATCATGTTAAGTCTGAATGCTTTCCATCTAATGGGCCAATTTCTTTCATTTTATAAATAAATGTGAGAACAGTTGTTGAAAAGTTATATATTAGGAATAGGTGCCAAAAATAATATTTCAAGAGATTCCGTATTCTCCGTAGCCTTTACACATCGTAAAATATGCCAAATTTCATGTTTTTTTACTAATTTTATCAATTTATAAATTCTTTATTAGATTACAAGGCTTCTGTAAAATTTTGAATTTGCGTCTGTGATTACTGAATTAACGTGAATTTACAGGCTATTTTACAAAGTCCATTGATGAAGAATAATTGTTTATCTGGATATTATCTATATCGTGCTTTTGGAATTTATAACAACGTATAATTTTGTTATGTAGTTTGAATCTACTGTACACAAATGACTGTTAACTTCAAAAAAGCGGTGTGTATTTTCCAATAAAGTAAATGCAGACACATATATTTGCTATCTCGTTTAGAATGGTAATACTTGTCAATTTATTTCTAGCCATCATATATTATATAAAAACAAAATTCTTAAAGCATCAGTTTATGGTTGTTTCGGCGTCGCAAACACGCCTGTTTGAAAATTAAATGAAACGAAATTAAACTTCTCGGAGAAGAGTTTAATACATTTGAAGTTGGTTAAATTATTAGTTAGCCGCTTTGACGTGGAATCAAAATCTTTTCTGTTTACTGCATTTTTGATATTTACACACCGAACAAAAATCCTCCACTGAGAAACTGCTGTCAACTTTTGTCAACCTGATCGCAATATTATCTATCGTGCATTTCATACCACGTGACCTAAAATTATAAATAGATCGTCACATTAATTGGACCTGCAAATTGGTGAGGAATAAAATTCTGAACATAATTCGACATCGTAGAACAAATTCCTTTATTAAAACGGAAAGTTCTTATAACAGAGATATATGAAGATTTTTAAATGATGTTAACTAAAAGCAACAGAAGGAGATCAGAAATAACTTCTTTGTGGTTTGTCAACAACAAATAAAATAGTTCTCGACAATGTGATGTAAAAATGAAAATACATATAAGAGAGGAAAATTAATAAAAGTAAGAAAGTATTTGATGTATTTGAATACCGACGTCGAAATCGATGCGTTTACCCTGTAGAAACAGGCAGGCAACACCATGTCCCGAAGGATTTCTGCAAAAAGGGAAGAGAATTACTATTGTAGCGTTGTCTTATTAGAATTTAAAAGCATCTCGTTGACGTGACTCCTATTCTGTGACTCCTACCCTTCTAGCTTTCAACGTCGCCGATAACGATCGACATTAATTAAAGTAATCATCTTAGAGATGGGAACGCTCAGTTTTCACTGAGAATAAATAATTTATGAGGTCTAGAGTGGAGTGGCGAGTAAAAGACAAACGACGAAGAACAAAGAGTTGACCGTTCCGGAATACATATAATATTTATTTACCTAACAGGCGTACATTTTTTTACATAATGTCTGTAAACGCCTCGTGTCCGGTGACCCGAGCTAATAAAGAACACTGACAAATATAAACAATTGAATACCAAGCAATAAACTATACAGACCTGACTACTAGAAGACCTGTCAGGGTTTTCTAAACTTGGCGCATTGTTCCATAAAGGTACACTTTATGTTTCAAACTCTAAAAATATCCTACAAAAATATTTATTAAAACACTTACTATATTCTTGTTTTGCGATAACTTTTAGATATTTATATAGATACGTATACTTCGTTGCTATATTATAAAAATATTAATTGTGAATTATACAATATATAAACACACTGTGTATTATCAACAACGACACATGAATTATAATGTTTAAAAAATGCCATCTTCAGATGTCCTAGACCGTTATAAGTAATACGTACATAATTTGAGCGAACATGTAAATATAAAAATGATTACAGATGTACGAAATCTACCAAGAGAACATAATTTCGCTATCTAGAAGTAGAATTACATCATCACACTGAAAGCAACGTACCTGTCATATCATCTGTATGTAAAGACTTTCGTGGCCTAATTTTGACTGCCTTACCGACCTAGAAATATGAGGCTGATTGTTGTGTCCTCTAACACAAGAAGAACGGTGATTACATACAGAAGTATTTCTTAAAATAGTACTTCGGACAAAAAAAACGTGAACGGTGTTAAGCGAAGTATTGTTTTTAGCTTTTCACGCGTCATTTGTTCACGCATTTTCAACACATTGAATCTTAAATCACTACATGATGAAATCTTACAGACGTTTTCTATGATACTTTTATTTATAGGTTAACTTGTCGAGAAACTCCATCATCACTGATTTCAATCGCATTAAAATACATTGTTAGGAACGTCATTTTGAATTCTACCTTGTACGATATAGGGGGTCGATTCTAGTTACCGGAATATTAACGAAATATTGTACTTTTAAAATTATTACATTGGATTCCGTATATACATGTACGTCTGTGGCAATGTATATGTCATCATATGGACGTATGTATACAGTAAAATATTTATATTCTTAAATAACAGATATAAACATTTACCAGTGAACTATACTTACAATTTAGCGCACACATACACGCGCGTGAATAACGGTTTACTAACAGTGCGTATGTAAACAGCGATAATCGATAATGTTGGGAATTATATTGAAATGGTAAGTAGATTTTAAAATTTTGCAAACGTGAAACATTTTATCGGGTAATAAGTTTATTTTATACTTTGCTTATCATGTCACTACCCTAGATTTTGTCACTATCTTTTAAAAATAACTATGCTATAAGTACATACCTTTGTATCTCATTTATAGTAACATTACTTCTTCTCTTAATATTAAGATAAATAAACTTACGAAATAAATTTATGAAATGAAACATGTACAAATAAAACAACTCTCACAAAACTTGTTTGAGAAAAGGCATTGGCCTTTCACCACGATGTTGCACGCGATTTTCACCAGTAATTGTTTGCAAATCATTTAGTGTACATTCACTAACAGCTTTTACACTATACTGTTGTATTAGCACATCATTTACAAAAACTATAGTGTAAAAATTTCAAATTACAATTTATAAATTACAATTATAAAAACAAACATATCGCATAATTTTTTAGTAAGCATTTTAACATTCTCACAATTCTTTGAAAAATTGTTGTATATATAAATAATAGAACTATTTTACTATGAAATAGTCAAATATGTGAATAATTTTTTATTTTAGAACATGTTCCTCTGGAAAAATGTCCTAATTACTTTACATGGCTCTTCTAGACAATTTCATACTTCAACGATTTTGTAAGTAACATATTTAGATTTCTAAAATTTTAAAAATTATGATTGAGATAACATTAAAAATGACAATATAATTATTTTTGTAATATTTTTAATCTAATTTTTTACTTTATTTTATATGAAAGATACAGTATATATCCCTTTCAGGCAAAAGGCTATCATAATAAATGGTAAACAAATAGCTGATGAAATTCAAAATGAACTAAAAACAACTGTTCATGATTGGGTAAATGATAATAAAAAGAGACCTAAACTAGTAGCTCTAAAAGTTGGCAATGATCCAGCTAGTAAAATATATGTTGAAAAAAAAATGAAAGCTGCAAATTTTATTGGTAAGATACTAATAAAATTAGTATAACTATATAGAATGATTATATTTTAATAATAATATATCTATATATGATATATTTATTGCATTGATGATTTAGGAATTGAAAATTATACTATTCACTTAGAAGAGAATAGTTTACAACAAGACCTAATGAAAGAAATTGATTGTTTGAATAAAGATGAAACTGTGGATGGAATTCTTGTACAATTGCCATTAACAAAAAACATGAATGAACAAGAAATATGTCAGGCGATTACACCGTGTAAAGATGTTGATGGTTTCCATTTAGAGAACTTAGGTGGTTTAGCATTAAATAGCAATGGAATAATTCCTGCAACTGCTTTGGCTGTAAAAGAATTAATAATTAGAAACAATATTGAAACTTTTGGGAAAAATGCAGTGGTAGTAGGAAGATCTAAACATGTTGGTTTACCTATTGCATTACTTTTACATGCTGATAGCAAAGGTATATAATGTAATAAGTGTGATGCCTACACAAGTATAAAATGTAAGGTTGTAAAACCTGTAAAATCTTAATATCAAATTAATTTGTAGATAAAACAGGTGCATTAGATATGACAACAACTATATGTCATCGTCATACCCCTCACACTGAGTTAGAGAAATTAACTAAATTGGCAGATTTAATAGTTGTTGCAGCTGGTATTCCTGGCTTAATCACAAAGGAAATGATAAAACCAGGAGCATGTGTAATTGATGTAGGAATTACAAGAATAAAAATGGGCAATAAATACAAATTAGTAGGAGATGTGGACTTTGAAAGTATAAAAACAATTGCTGGATATATAACTCCAGTACCAGGAGGAGTAGGTCCTATGACTGTAACAATGTTAATGAAAAATACTATTTTAGCAGCTAAAAGGAATTATCAAAATTCAAAATTATTTAAACTTAATAACATGAAAGTTCCTAAGCATTAATAAAATAGTTTACAACACAATATTGATAATTATATAAAATATTATAAATAAAATATCTTTCTTTAAATTATTAAAAATAAAATGAAAATAATACAAATATTTATAATTTTTTATTATGTTTATTCATTACATTATAAAATGATATAAATTGTAGACATAAGTACTTGAAGTTATCAAACGAATACTTATGCATATTTTTATTTTAAATATAAATTATAAACATAAATAAATTAAAAATTATATGTATTAATAAAATAATATATTAGCCATATTAATTCTATACAAAGAAAAATTTATTTCTTACTCTCAAATCAATAAAAAATGTTGAAATTATAAGTATAATAATGATATTGTACATATTTCTTTATGTACTTAAAATGTTATACCATATATGAAAAATAAAAATACTTAAACAATAAGTAAGGTTATATATTTTTTTCATTTTATATTGTCGAATATATATGGAAGTAAAAGACTGGAAGTATATACTGTATTAAAAAAAGATGTTCCTATTTAATCTCACTTGTTATAAAATACTAAATCAAAGGTCACTTTTACTTGTTTCCAAACTTTCAATACGTAACAATCGGAAATTATTTTCAACCACGGAAATAACAATGAACCGACCGAAAGTTCTAATTACTCGTCCAGATATTCCAACTACGGGATTAAATTTACTTAAAGAACAGTAAGTACTTTCCTTAATATTTAAAAAGAGGTTAAAATATCTATAATTTTTTGTAATTTCATGGAATGCATGATATAAATTTTCATATCATCAAGTAAAGTAAAGTATAAATATTATAAATTTATTTTTAACTGCTACGAAATTGTTCTGAAAAAATTGTTTATCAATATTTTTGCTTTTTCTATATTGTATTTTAGATGTGATGTCATTCTATGGGAAAAGCCTGAACCAATCCCTAGAGCTGTATTATTATCAAAAGTAAAATATGTAAATGGGATTTATTGTTTATTAACAGATAAAATAGATGAAGAAATTTTAAATGCTGCAGGATCAAAATTAAAAGTTGTGGCTTCTATGTCAGTTGGTGTCGATCACTTAGACTTGCAAGCTTTAAAAAAGAGAAATATTAAAGTTGGATATACTCCAGGCATTCTAACAGATGCCACAGCTGAATTAACTGTAGCATTATTATTAGCTACATCTAGAAAACTGATAGAAGCAAACAGGGCAATTTATAAGTATAAAACAAAATATATCCTTGTTAGGTACTAAATTAGATAATTAAATATATATTTTATTTTAAATATAATTCATACAGGGGTGAATGGAAAGCATGGTCACCTAGTTGGATGTGTGGATCTGGACTATCTGGATCAACAGTTGGAATAGTAGGATTAGGTCGTATTGGTACACAAGTAGCAAAATGTCTTAAAGGCTTTAACATTGCTAAAATATTGTATACAAGTAGAAACATTAAACAAGAAGCATCTAAATTTGATGGAGAAAAAGTTGAACTTGATACATTGTTACAAAAAAGTGATTTTGTAATTGTTACAACAGCTTTAACTCCAGAAACAAGACAAATGTTTAACCAAAATACATTTAAAAAGATGAAAAAATCTGCTATATTTATCAATGTTAGTAGAGGAGAAGTTGTTGATCAATTTGCATTAATAGAAGCTCTGAAAGAAGGAATAATCAGAGGTGCTGGCTTAGATGTTATGACACCCGAGCCTATCCCATTAGATAGTGAGCTACTAAAATTAGACAATTGTGGTAAGTCTAATAAAAGTCACTTATAAATCTACGATAAAATGAATGCTTTCTGTATATTTCAGTTATATTACCTCATATTGGTAGTGCTGCTATAGAGACACGAGAGAAAATGTCAGTAATTACAGCTGAAAACATTTTAGCAGTTTTAACAGCAAATCCACCAGTAATGCCTGCTGAAAATTAAGTTACATGTTATACTCAAATTACTAAAATAAATAATATAAATATGTAAAGAAAGATAAACCAATTTCAAACTTATACTGTTATTTAGCTTTATAAATTAATCCTTTATACAAATATAATTAGTTGCTAAAAATCATATTTACTTGTATTTTCTTTTTATTTATATAAGTTTGTACATATGGCAAGCCTATAAATATATTGCATTTTATTATTAACTAGCACTATAATAACTTTACTATTCTGAAATATGTAACCTTAATTTTCTTAATGCTACTAAACTTTGCTCATATATTGTAAAATGTAATGCTGTTGTCATAACAGCTTTTAATTGACTTGGGGTCAAACCTTTAAATAGACCTGTTAAGCCTTCGTTTTTTATAACTAATTTTAAACAATCCACAAATCCTTTACATTCAAAAAAAGTACCAAACCCATTTCTACCATTTTTGAATCCTTGTACTTGTAATCTTTTTCTACTGAGATCAAAGGGATATACTACAGTTTTAGCTAATAGACCAGCTACACTACCAGATATTATAGAATTGTTAATACTAGTATCAGTTTTATTGTAATAGTTCTTATATGTATCAGTGAAAAATGCATAAAATGCAAATTGCAGACCTGTATGTGGTGCAACTTGCAACAAAGTTGGTAATAATCCATGAAAAAAAGTCTTTGGAGATTCATATTGTATAATACACCTGAAAACATATTTTATGAAACGAAGTTTGATTTAATAGTAAAATATTTTTAATAACTTTAAACTTGCCTGCATGAATGAAAAATTCCCTTGTAGATTTGATGATTGCTTGATTGTGCCACTAATCTAGTTCTTATAGTATCAAATGGAAATGACACAATTATGGCTATAAAACCAGCACCTGCACCAGCTATAAATTTTGTTGTATATTTCCATTCATTTAGTAATGAAAAATTATAAGATCCATTCATAAGTATATTATATGAATAAAACTGTAAAATTTTAATACTTAGTTACATATTTTTACATATAAATTAAAACATTTATAATCTTAAATGAGAAGACAAAGACAATTAGTTACAAATAACACTATATAAAATTTATAAACCTATTATTCCTTTTAAACAAATAATGTTATCTTTGATAAATGTTTCTGTGATTTTTGCTTGCAATGTTATGATTAATGCTTACAAATAATGATATTTAAATGCATTTTATTGATAACAACAGAATCTAATTCATAATTTACAAATCTCAGATAATATCACAATCTAAGACTTCTGTTCTTAGTGTTTCAAATCCAATTCTTTTTTCTTGAACATTTATTGTAGCTAAAAATATTATATGATAGAAATAAAAAAACTATATATAAAAATCACGTAAAATATATATTTACCTGACTTGTTCCATATACTATTGACAGTAATTGAGCAGGAACATGTCCCTTCCAAAACGCAAAGATACCTTCTTCCTTAAATATTATATAAAATGCTTGTAGTAAAGAACGATATTTACTAACGTGATGGTTAGCAATAGGTTCTACTTGTAACTACAGTAATAACGAATATTTTTATTGTCTATATATAATATTAGAAATATTGTTATATTTTATTTGAGATGCATTCTTTTACCTGAAATCTAATTTTCACAACATCGAAAGGTTGACAAAGGAATCTTGTTACAAAGCCACTAGTAGCTCCAGCTACAGCATGGTCTAAATTATAATTATCGTTTTTTAATAAATTATCCATTGTCTTCTACTCTACAAACTTTGAATTTAATGTACTACAACGAATAAAAAAGTTATATATGACTTTTGGCAAACAATAAAATATCAATATCAAATTGTTATGAATACCAAAGTTTAAAAAATATGTGTAATATTAATTTAGAAAAAAAATAATTTCCTTTATTATATAGAAGCTAAATTTGTTTCATTATAAAATGTAAAATATACAGCATTGTATAGATAAAAAGTGATGACATCTAGGTTAAATTGTTAGCACTGGATTAATTGTTAATATAAAATATCAGAGAATGCTGTAAAATAAATCTAATTGTGAATTTTGTAAGAATATAATTGACAATAATAGAATTTTGTTTTAATTACGTTGCCTTAAATCTATTTATGCTTTCTTAATTTTTTCAAGAAATATAGATTGCAGGTGCTTGAAAAAATAATATGCTTTGGCTATTTTTTTGCGAATTCACTAAAATAAACTTATTTTTACAATTCTATATATTATTTTTATATAAATAACTAACAATTTATAAAATTATTTGTTATAATTATAATTAATTTCTTGTATCATTTCGGAAACTGACAAATGATCGTCAAAATTACAAGTATAATTCAAATTACAGTAATTCTCTGTTAATGTTGTTAAGTTGTATCCCCAGGAACTTTGAAATATAAATTCGATTTCTCTTCTAGATGGAATATTCAGATGGCCCTTTACAGATATTACGTCCAAGTATTCAATAAAATTTTCCTACGAAAAACATTTTTTATTATATTTATGATTTAAGTTGTTATAATAATTTTGAAATATTTTTTTAACTTCTTTTATATATGTATATTCTCATATAATTGGAACATGTAATATATCGATATTTATTTATTTAATATAAGAAGGAAGATAATTATTATAACATGGTACTCACATAATTTTTTATTTGTCGTGTATTCCATAATTCAATATACAATTTACACAAGTTCAAAATTGTTACTTCATATATAGCAGAAGCAGTTTCAAAATTATCTTCAAGTTTTTTAAATTTTTCATTCTTTATAGAATGATCATTCATTCTTTTACAATACCATTTATCAAAAAATCTTTTTTTTGCATCATTTTGTATGTACAAACATTTAATATCTATCATTATCTCTGAACCAATAGTACATATTTCATAACAAAATTGAAATACATTATATTCTGAAGCTTCAATCAAATGAATTATAAAATCAGAGTAAATAAAAAGTAATCCAGTAATGCATAGTGAAATATGTTTTTCAATTGCATTATGAAAAAATTGTGTAATATTCTCACAGTCTGTAATTTTTGCACAAAAGATAAGTCTGCACACAGACGTCCGCATTTTGTAATATACTGAATTTGTAAAACACCTATTTTCAATAAGTTGTTTGATCAATAATGAAAATACATCATTCTAAAATAAATTTATGTAACAAAATACAAAAATTAGTAAAATTTATTTAAAATTTACAATTTACAATCATCATAAGGATGAAGATTAGGAATTTTAAGTAAAACTGATGATGTTTTATTGAGGCATGAAGAATAAATACATAAATAAATATATACAAATACATAAAATGTATCACTGGATAGTTACTTATAATTTGTATACTACAATGGTGAAATTGGAATTATTAGAAAAATTGTGATAACAGATTTAGGGGAGTAAATCTTTTTAGTCTATATGCAGAATTATTTGTGTTCAGTAACTACAGTAGTAAGAGACAGTAAATACAATAGTAAAATATAGTAATGTCAGCATCATCATCCGATGTTTTGGCCACTTTAGCATCTTTAGCAAGAATTGGTAATTCTTGAAAATGGGATTTTGGAATGAACTTCAACTGAGTTTGAGGAAACCACCTCTCCACATAAATGTTCTGATTCAATCTTGACTACAGACACTAGAGTGGACATTACTGTAAATTACATTTTATTGAAATTTTAAAATATTTGAAAATAGGATTACTTACGTTTCTAGGATAAAATATTATATATAAACTACTAGAAATAGTATGAAGATTTTTTCTTTAATTTACACAGACTTTATTTTTGCTGTTACAAATATGATACAATTATGTGCGACATTTTTCACCTGTCTTGTTTAAATATATGGAATAAAATAGAAGATTACTGAAACGAATATTCAAGTGCTGTAGTAATTCAAATGATTTACTAAATCGATGAAAACTTCTAAATTATGTTTTCATACATAATTAAACTACAAGTTTACTGCAAATTCAAGTTATCTAGCAAAAATTTCTTGTGAATTAAGTCTACATTATCAACACATAGTATAAGATATGCAAGTAAGTAAAATGTAATTTTACAGTTATTATTTAATATGTTCTCCCATTTAGTTTTACAGAGATTAATATATGACCAAATATGAAATTGGCCACATTGAAGAAGTGGAATGAATACTGATTACATTGGTGAAGTGGTAGCAACATATATGGTTGCAGAGAAAAACTCTCAAGATCGAGACACAGCCCGAGAGAGTACCTTAAGAACATTTAAGATCCATCCCCCTTCTATAGAGATGTTTTGGATTGGGATCAATGATGTTGTCCGATCTTGTACCAACGCAAGATTAGTTTTTATCGATCATATTATGCTTCTTGAACGTGAGTTACGTTGTAATATTTCAGTACAAACATTGACTTTTTGCTAATAACATGGATACCTTACACTTCATATTTTCTTCAGATTCTCTGAGATAAAGGTTGTCTAACTGAACTGAGTTAGTGCTGACAATTTTTAACTTGCACCTTGAGAATTATATTAATGACAGAATCTGTCGATACTTTGCACAACTATAATTTAAAACTCATGTAAATTCATATATCATATACAAATATTTGGTTGTTATATCATCTTGCAATTCAATTTTTTTACACGTTATGCTATTAATTTAGGTAATAAAACAGGCAAGCTCACATCTAACATGACAAATCTGACACAATAATCAAAAATGTAATTTCAAAATTAGATTACATTAACTATAATTAGTCTGATAGAGAGAAATGTACCAGTCATTGAGTATAATAAAATTGAGTCTGTAGTTAGAACTCTTTCTCCATCATTTTGCGGCCATTAATAGAGGTTAGAGCGTATGTAGACCTTGTATACATTTACATCTATATCAAAAAGGAGCTGCTTAAAGATGCGATATTTGCAAGGGTATGCGAGCCCAGCATACAGTCAGAAGGAACGTTGAGAAAACTGGCCATGAATATTTAGGAGCATCCTAAGCAAGTATTACAAAGACTGAAGAGTCTTGAGAGTATATGCCCAATTACGAATCAATAATGGAGCACGTGCTATCCAAGTAAACATTGATGTTTATAAGATATCACAGACACTTTCTTAAGTCCCATGCGGGATACATTAAGAGCATTAATATGCAAGCATTTGGGCTTACTGTACAGAGAAAGTATGATGCTGCAAATGAGTCTGAAAAGATATAACACATCTCAGATTGTCAGACAGGATTCTTTCATTCATTTAATCCCTGATGAATATTTAACCTTAGAACCTTGGGTTTCTGTTAATCGCGAATTACGGGAAGTTGGTGCATATGCACCAATTGATGCGTCAATGTCCGGAATGGCCCCGTAAAATAGATCTCGATTAAATTATATAAATTTGTTCTAAATTCATAGGTTACAGTACACTTTAAATTTATTGCTGTTTACGTTATCAGTTTAGTATAATGAATTTTAATATGCGTGTGTTTTATTTCTTTAAATCCCTCAACTCAATAACTTTATGGCTTATTAAAATCATATTATTATGTCAATTATGTTTAGTATTGTTAATTCTACATTATATATTCTCTTTTTCCATACTGTATATTCATCCACGATTCTTACATATATTTCAGTGGCTATTCCGAACTCAATCATAACACGGACAACATCATTTAACCCTATAATATTTTAAATCATCTGTATACTGCTTGTAAATATGAAGCACCCAACAACTATATGACATAATCAAGATGTATAAATTGAAAATAAAAAATAAACTTTTTGATAAACAAAGTTAATATCTTATATACTGATTATATTTATTATATTTATTATCTATATCTTACTGAACTCCAACTTCTGAGATGCCTAAAGAATTATAAATAAAGATTTTCTTGACTAAAACAAAACTTAATACATAATTAAATTAATTTTAGCAATCAATTTCCTAATAAGCTAGGCAAAACATTTTAAATCAAACTTAATTTTAGGAGATTGTCAATCATTTTGTATAAGTATTTTTCATACTTAATACTTTCACACCATATTTTCTACCGCATATTTTTCACTTTATCTGTGCCTCAATAAATGAAAGTAAAAATGTAGTATAAAATATAATTAATAAGTCTACAAATTAATTCGGTGCATTTGCATTTAATAAGTAGTTACTCTGTTTTAAATTTAATCTGTTTTTTCATTATTCTGTACTTTCGAAGTACTAACTTTAACTCGAAAGAAAACCAATTTAAATGAATACTGCTAGCGACATAATCTAAAACTAAAAATTTGATTATGTTTATATTTCAATTAAAGAATACTGTGAAAAGAATTTGTGAGTTCAGTAGAAGATGTAATGCATAAAATGTTCGAAAAGTGCTAGCAAAGATTTCATACAGGTAATTTCGATCTTCTGAATTAAGAACGTCCTAAAATGCATACAAAATTTAAAGATAAAGAACTAAAGTATCTCCTAAATGAAAATCGTGCTATTCATATGCAAAAAGAATTTGATTGAAAATCTAGTGTAAGATTTTCTGTACAGAATCGTTACTAATAAAGGAAATTGAGAACTCTACGATAATCCTAAAAAACAGAAATTACAGAATTATCCAAGTAAATCGCGCAATCAAACATACACACGTAGAAATAACTGATATGCATTTGGTAATATATGAGCAGGCTCATATATTATGAATTGCTCAAATCTGAAGAAACTGTAAATTCCAAATATTATTAGAGTCAACTGATACGAATAAGTGTCGAATTTTATGGGAAAAGACCGTTTACCAGCACTGGAAGTAGACCTGTGATTTGAGTGCATAATAATAAACAACCACGTGCAGCCTAATAAACGAAAGAAACCCATTCATGTCTTGGAATGGAAAGTTCTCTCCTTCATACAGACGTCTCCAACAGATTATCACCTACTTTTGCCCTTGCAACACCACCTTACAGACTCGCATTCAAGACGTATGAAGAAATTCATAAAAGTATTACTGAATTTATTTAATTAAAATCCTTATCGCTTTCCTGCGACGGTATTCGTTTGTTGCTCAATAAATGTCCATATTCATAAAAAGTAACAGAGACTATTTGACGGAATAAAATATATACAAATTTTTTGTAACAAGACTTCTAATTTGAAGATGAAAAAGAGCATCGAATTAATTTGTAAATCTAATACATAACGGAGACATAACAAAGGTACTCTCTGCATGTAATTTACTGAATTTTATACTATCGCTAACTACAACAATAAGATTATAAATAAAAATAAAAAAGATTAACCGAGCACGGAACTAACATGAAGTAATACATCCTTGATGGAGAACATTTTCTAATCACAGAGGAAGAGATTGTAACGAGTTTCAGATCTCCAACAGGTTGCTTGTTCAGAGAGTTTGTGATCGGAAGTCAAAGTACACCAACTATGAGTCAAAATAACTTAGGCTATCGAATCGTTTATGTACTTTAGGGAAAACAGTTTCTCTTCTACGATAATTTCCGTAACCCCAACGATCTGAAAATTTACATATCAAGTATTAAAGAAAATTATTATACAGTAAGGATTATTTAGTTTTATAGTTTCTACAAACACTTACTTCGTGCGATATCATTCCCACTTTTATCTGCGAGTTCCAAAAGCTTAGGATTAACAACTTGTTTAGCTTCTTTAAGTACATTAACCAAGCCTTTAGCCTGTCGACCATTTTGTGGTGTAAAGAATGCATAACTCGTCCCTGAATTATTTGAACGGCCCGTTCTACCAATTCTATGAATGTAGTCTTCAGATGAAGTCGGATAATCGAAGTTGATCACGTACTTTACGTCGTCGACATCTAAAGGAATAGTTTCATTGAAATTTGTACTAATATAAAAGATTAAAATTGTTAAGTATGATATAAAATGTTATGTTTAATAAAAATATGATGTTTTTGTAATATGTGCTTAATATGCCAAATAAATAATGAAACTCTTATAGATTTTATTCTATTATTTATGTTAAAAATATGTATGGTTAAAGTAAAACTTGTTAAAGTAAAAGTTAAACATTATAACAGAAATTAATGCACAAAAGTCATCGTTTTTATTTCTATATCTTTTCGTGAAAATATGCAGCTAAGCTTATAATCATACATTACATTATGTGTCATATTAAACATACAACACGAATTAATAAATTTTATAAGAGCGGATAATTAATAATTAATTTCTGAAATTTAACTCGGTAATACAAATGAACGAATATTTGTATTACCTTCTTTAATTCATATCTCATACAGAAATATAAATGTATATAAAACGAGAATAAATTAATAATACAAGTCAAAAGTAGGTATAACATTTGCAACATAATAGCAGTTGTACATTTATTGAACATAGTCAAATAAAACAGTTATCATTATAAAACATTGCAACACCTCATTAATATAAGTTCTTTTATACTAATAAGAAAGAAAATTATTCTAAATAATTTAAAATCAATAAAATCGTAACTTATCATTCAGTATTTTACTTAAATAATAAAGATTGAATATTTTATAAAAATTGCATTATTCAATACCTCATATTAAATTTTTTGTTATGAATTATTAATATATTGAAGATATACTTTAAAAAATTACAGTTTTATATTTGAATATATATGAATATAAGTTAGCTGCATAGTAATTAAATACAAACCCTTTTATTGTTGAACATTGCGTTCCGTATGACTGCATACAGAGCGCCCCACGATGTGTGCTATTCTTAAATGCAACTTCACATCGCAACGTCGTGTCCTAAGCATCACCACCGAGTAGCGATAGTAGCAAAATCAATAGATTGTTGTCTCTGATACGGGCTGAGCATTGGCTATGAAGTGTGATGGTTGTACCAAAATGTAAACCACGGTCTTATCTCACAACCAACCAGCGCCGACAGCAGTACCACCCGCGCACCACTCTACTACTTGCGTGGTACACAGGCTGAACACAGAGGCACATTAAGTACAATATTATGTGCAAAACAGAATTGCGCATGTACAATGAGTGAGCCATGTTTTCTTTATTGAACGATCGTTTTTCATCGCACACTCAATACAATTTGTGCACCATGTGCCTCTGAAACAAAGGACAACCAGACTGATTAACATAAATTACAAGATGCCCACATTTATTACTAACGCACTTCTCCTAAATTCCAATTTTTACTCTCAATTCTTTAACACAAGCGCATTATTTAATTCTGTTCCTTTTTTCTTTCTTTTTTTTTGACAAAATAGATTGCATTAATAAACGCTTAACAAAGCTGACAAAAGAATTAGAATGAAGAAAAAAATGTGTACACTACTTAAAGTATGTAACACAATTATATAATATAAAATTAAAAAGAAATATGCAGTATTTTTTTCATTGGTAAAATAAAGCAAATTCTATTATTAAAATTTTGTACGCCATAATTACACAAAAAATTGATATATTTAAATGTAAATAATAATAAAAAAAAGAGAAAAAAAAAAGAAAAAAAAAAGGAATGAAAATTGTAAGCTACTTAATGCCATCTATTTGATACACTAAGCTTATGTAAAGTTTGAGAATGTGTACTTGTTATACTGTATTAATCTTATTATATTATTCTACAATTTCAGTAATTAATTAGTAATTAACAATTACCAAAGTCTACAAAACAACGCTGTTAAAAAATTATCTATTAATTTTTAAATTTCTTAATGAATATAATAAAATATTTAATATTAATTATTTTTTATTAAAAGCAGTGAGGCATCACCTTCATATAACCAGTCTGTGCTACATCGCCACTTTATCCTAACCTTTCTTTTTTTAATTAAATAGTTTTCCCAAATCCAACTTAACTGAAGGTCAATGAGTTCTTCAAAATTTAGTATGTTTTAACAAAATAAACAGCACTAAAATAATTGTATTACTTACCCAATCCACGGGCAGCAACATCTGTTGCTACAAGAATTGCATCCTTATTCCTTCTAAATTCTAAAATTTAATAATGTGACATTATAAATTATGCAACAAAATATATGATGAAAATAATATTTCTCAACACATGTAGTAACAAACCTGTAAGGACAAAATCTCTTTCCAATTGAGATTTATCACCATGTATACATACTGCTGGCCAACCATAACGACGAATAATTTTAGTGATACTTTCCACTTTTTTTTTCGTTTCTACAAAAATTATTGTTTTTCCGCCATCTGGATTAACATTACTAATTTCTTGAAGGAGGTTTTGCAATCTAAAGCAAAAGAACAAAATGTTAAATTATACATAAAACTTAAAAATTAAAATATTTATTTATTGATAAAAAATCAGTTCTTCTTAGAGGAAAATTATTGCATAAAATCATATATTAAATATCATATATTAACTTCATCAGAAATTATAAGATAAATTTTTTATTTGAATAGGACAATTTACACTATTATTAAATCAAAATATTAAAAATGCATAAGATATTAAAATTATAATACATACTTTATTTGTTTTTCATGTTCCTCACAAACATCAACAATTTGAAGAATATTGTGATTAGCTGATAATGTTAATGATCCAATGTTCAATTGTGTATAGTCTACAAGATATTCCTCTGCAAGATTTCGAACTTCTTTTGGCCAAGTTGCAGACCACATTAAAACTTGTCTGTCTGGCCTGATTTGTTCAATAATTTTTCGGATCTGTGGTTCAAAACCCATATCTAACATTCTATCTGCTTCATCTAATACCAAATATGTGCATCTGCGTAAATTAGTTGTACCACGTTCCAAAAAGTCAATTAATCGTCCAGGTGTAGCAATGCAAATCTCAACTCCTTGTTCTAAATCACGAGCTTGATTTCCTTTTGGTGCACCACCAAAAATACAAGTGCTTCTCACATAACCAAAACCGTAAGTAACTTTCTGAATTTGCTGTGCCAATTCTCTAGTTGGTGCTAAAATAAGAGCAATTGGTCCATCACCATGATTTAGAGGCTGTTGACTGCTAATGTGTACTATAGCAGGTAGTATATATCCTAAAGTTTTCCCAGATCCAGTTTGTGCTATTCCAACCATATTGTGCCCAGACATAGCAATTGGCCATCCTTGAGCTTGAATAGCAGTTGGTTCACTGAACCCTTGCTTTCTGATACATTGCATTACATGCTCAGGGAAATTTCCTTCTTCAAAATGTTGTATAGGATTAGGAATTTTCTCTCCTTTGAGGGTAATTTGATTTTCTTGTCTAAATATGTCTACTTCCTGTGGATGACGTGCTTGAACATTTGGATGTGGTATATAGAAGTCTTTCTTAAAAGGCTTTAAATTTTCGAAGTTCCAATTTGGTTTCTTCAAGGTTCCAAGAGCAGTATGCATATTATTTTTGTTACGATTATCATATCGTCCATTTTTATTACTGGTAACATTTCCATATGTAGATCCTCTTTCTTTAGTACTTCTATAATTTCCACTGTGATAACTAGCCCCGTATGTCCTACAAAAAATGTGTACATTAAAAATCACTTTATTATACACTTATTTTTATATATGGGTGTCGAGAACATAGAGAATCAGATCCAGATAAGACATATGTGGATTCCGAAGGCATGTTCTCAAATTAATATTTCTCTCACAAGCATTCATGCTCCAATCATGTAAACAAAATGGAGGCATGCCAAAATGAGAGGTACAATTAATATATCAACTGTCACATTAATCAATTATAACTAAAAATTCCTTTCTCCATAAAGCCATGAAGATCATTACTGTAATCATTTAGAATAATCAAAATAAAATAAATATCAACAGCTTTTGAACAACATAGATAACTAGGTAATATGAAATAACAAATAATGTTATATACATTAAACAATATGGTATATTATATGCTATAATAAAAATTCCATTGTGACCCCCTAAGAATATCATATGATACATATGTGACAGTTGGGTTAATTCTTTGTACTCAATATATGAATATTAAATACATAGTAACGTAAGAATATATGAAAAATATCAAAATCATTTAATAAATTATTTATTCATGACTTTCTTATGTCATCAACTTTAAAAAATGTCATTTCTAAAACAAAAGTCTTTTTGTAACAAAGCAACCTTTGAGTACAAAAAACCACATATTTATATTAATTAAATTGTTATCTTTCATTTCACAATATTATTGAAAATATCTTTAAATACAAACCTAATTCTGAGAGATCCAATTGCTCCTACTACCTGTCGTAACCTTTAATGAATAGTGCCTTTATGTATTTACTAATCATTAATATCATTTAAAGATTATGTTGAACTCTCTCTCTCTCTCTCTCTCTCTCTCTCTTTCTCTCTCTCTCTCTCTCTCTCTCTCTCTCTCTCTGAGAGAGAGAGATATACGTATATACATATATATATATATATATTTCGAAATAAATAAAAATACTTATTTAGAAACCTAAAGCTATTATATAATGCTATATGTTGATAAATTTTTATAAGGATATAAAAAATAAAATTTAACGACGCATTGCAGATATCGCGTAATGGCTGATCATGGACATGTTAAAGAAGGGAAAAAATAGTTACAACTTAAATTAGATTGAGTAGATTAGATTTAAACTTATTACAATGTAAAGTAAAAATGTTACTTACATATTTGAAGTAATAAATGACTTTCAGCTTCTAATGAAATTACTATTGAAGGTAATAACTTGTACTTAATTGATTCAGTAAGCGAAGATTCCTAAAATGACAATTAATTTTTATAATTTTTTTTATCTATGAAATATACAAATTTACGACAAAGAACGATTAATTGTTCATTATGATGTAATATTTATAAATTTTAAAAATGTAACCGACGAATAAAAACCAAACATCCTACTTACGCCACATCCAGGAACAGAAAGAACGATTTAATATGTACCCGGATGTGAGACAACATCGGACAAACGTATTCAAAAGTGGGGATGCGCAAAAGCTCCTTAAACGCCTCTTTTCGTCCTCTGCGCATGTAGTATAGGGTTGAATTTGATTAACTAAAATCAACGAACAACGTAACTCAAAACAATATATTATTTGTTATATTTGAACAATTTTTTGATTATAATTGCATATATATCCATTTTAGCATGAAACATATTTTTTTGAAATATTTGTAATATTAACAATTTTACGTCTGATTATATAATAGTATATAACAATTACAGCATTTCATTAGATATCGTTTTATACGTGATGCTAATTTGATAATGTTATTTAATATTATTAAAATTGATTAATGATATTACTAAAATTATTTTTAATTATATTTTATTTATTTTAATACTAATACTACCCAGCATAAATACAACATTAATATGTTCAATATATTTAGAATTCAAAATCTCCCGCTTTTTGTACATTGTACCGGAAATAAAACAGATAGTTCAAACATCGAACATATATAGCGCTAGAACTTCTGTTCGGTTTAGTTTCAGAGTTGCGTATCTACTTATTATTATTCTGTGCTGCATGTACTAATCAGAATCATTTAGAGAACGTGTGCAGGGAATTGCTGGTAAATTATCGCGATCGTGTGTAGGCAATTGCTGGTAAAGTGCATGTGTTTGATGGGTTACCTTTTATGGTGATTCAAATAACAAGAAAACATTGATCAAATTTGTGATGTTCTAATAACAAATTAAAAGGAGAACTTCTAACAAAAAAGTAAGCCTATATAATTTTACATTCGATTTTTTCTGTTTTAATATTTATTGCTTCGTTTGTGAAGAGATAGCACTTTGTAAATATAAAGATGACGGCATCATCGTGAATGAATAAGCAGCCTGTTTTATACTGTGAATAATCATATTTCATAGGTATTGAATATATTTGAAACATAATTCTTCAGAATATTACAAGTGAATATCTTTTTATTCAAATTTTATACAAAATGTTACTTACATATATTGAAAATTTAAAGTGTGAAAGAACATGTATAGTCACATTTTGATTAAATTCTTTTTTTTTCACTAAATAATTAATTATGTTTTGTAAATATTTTTTTCTTCTAATTTTTTTCTCTTAGATATGTATATTTAACACACATTACTTGTTTTAAATGTTGATACATACAATCAAATTTTTTTAATGTTTTGATATTAAAATGAATTTATTTAATTTACAATTTAATTTAGTATAGAAATTTATAGACATTGCTTTAAAACCAATTCATAATGTAACGTGAATCATTTATAACTAACTTACAAAATAAATCATCTGTTATAAATAAAACTATCAGTTTATCCTAATTTTGAATAAATAATTTAAATTATTAGAAAATGATTTAAATCATACATATTTCATACTTATTCTCAGAAAATAAAAGTAGAAACCAAGAAAATATAATTTAAGAATTCAATGAGTCAACCAGTACAAGAATATTATCTCATACATACTTTATTATTTTTAGAAATGATTTCATATAGTTATAATTTCATTAAAATTCTGTAAAATTAAAAATAGTGAAATTATTATTTTACTTGCAGAATTATATTTCAACTTTAAATTTATAAAGTGCATTAATATAAATTTCTTTATATTTACTATTTATATATATTTTGTATATATACACTATATTTAATATTTAATAATTAGAAATGTTTTATACTGGTATATTTTTTTATATATGTATGTATATATATATATATAGAATGTTTGGCAGCTCAAGTTGGCTCATAGCAATAGCAATTGTCATATCACTAGTAAAGGCAAATTATTCACCTCCAGAAAGATTAACTGGAATGAATCCTTGCATCAGCAAACAAACATGTCATGAATGTATACAAACACCACATTGTGCCTGGTGTGCTGCACCAGTAAGTTTTCATATAAATTTATATCATAAATTTTTTATTTTCATGTCAATATATATTATTAATATGTAGTATATATAATATACATTATACGAATAATTATATTTGTTTTTGTAGAAATTTTCAGAGAAACGGTGTTTTTTACCAAACATCAATACCAAAATATTTGCAACATGTCCAGCTGAATATACATGGAATCCAGATAATGTTTTTAGTATGATAAGACATAGGAATTTAACAAAAGGTGGTTATGCAAGTGGTAGTATCAGTGGTTATGAATATCAATACATAAATTCCAGCACATATGGCTCTAGTTCAAAATCAAGTAGTAGTAGCAGTAGTAGTAATAGCAGAAGACAAGAAGCTATACAAATTTGGCCACAAGAAGTTAATTTAAAACTTAGAATAAGTAAGATATTATAATTCTTATAGATTAAATATTTTTAGTGTAGATATATATTTACAATATTAAATAATATTAATTATTTAGATGAAGCACATAGAATGACTTTCGCCTATTCACAAGCTGAAGATTACCCTGTTGATTTGTATTATCTTATGGATCTGAGTAAATCAATGGAAGATGATAAGAAAAAATTATCAGATTTAGGACAACTTCTAGTAGAGAGTATGAGTAAAATTACAAGTAATTTTCGGCTAGGTTTTGGCAGTTTTGTTGATAAAGTTGTAATGCCTTATGTTAGTACAATGCCTAAGTCGTAAGTTTCTCATAAAAACAATCATAATCTTTGTACATAATTTAGAATTACAATTTTACATATCATTTAACAATATACATGTAGTTATTTTTGTATTTTAGGTTAATAGAACCATGTGATGGATGTGCAGCACCATATGGTTATAAAAATATTATGACATTATCTCGAGATACTAGTCATTTTGCTGTAAGCACATATAATAACCTAATTTTTCAAATGATATTTTCTAAAAATTATTGTCATTTTTTTTTTGTTCATATAGAGTTTAGTAAGAAATGCCTCAGTATCTGGAAATTTAGATGCACCAGAAGGAGGATTTGATGCAATTATGCAAGCTATAGTTTGTAGGCGACAAATTGGTTGGCGTGAAAAGGCTCGTAGACTTTTAGTGTTTTCTACAGATGCTGGTTTTCATTATGCAGGAGATGGTAAATTAGGTGGAATTATCAAGCCAAATGATGGTGAATGTCATTTAGATGGTACTGGACTTTATACACACTCATCTTTACAAGACTATCCAAGTATTTCTCAAATTAATTTAAAAGTCAAACAAAATGCTATTAATGTTATATGGGCTGTTACGGAAGAGCAAATAAACGTATATAAAAGACTAACTAAACATGTAGAAGGATCTTTTGCTGGTAAATTATCAGATGACTCAAGTAATGTTGTAGAATTAATTCGTGAACAGTATGATGCAATTTCAAGTTCGGTTGAGATGAAAGATACAGCTAGCAGTGCAGTTAAAGTAAAATATCTTTCAAAATGTCTGGGGACAGGCCCACTTATTGAAACTTCAAAATGTGATGGATTAAAAGTTGGAACAAAAGTAGAATTCACTGCAGAAATTGAAGTCACAAGTTGTCCAGAAAATAGATCAGAATGGAAACAAAAATTCGATATTTATCCAGTAAGAATAAAAACATTTGCATTTGCCTATTTATTTCAGTTTATTGTTAAAGGAAAAGTTTATTTTCCTTTCTTTCTTTCTTCTTTTTTTCTTTTTTTTTTTTCTTTTTTTTTCTTTTTTAATTTCTTTTTTCTACATTGGAAATGTTATGTGACTGTGAATGCGAACGTGAAGGTGCTATGTATGAACCAAAATCACCAGAATGTAATGGTGTAGGAACTCTAAAATGTGGCATCTGTGAATGTTATGATGGATTCTTTGGAAAACGTTGTGAATGCAGTCCCCATCAAGAAATGACAGGATTTGATAAACATTTTCAATCTTGTAGGCCTGACAATACTTCTCTTGTAGATTGTTCAGGAAGAGGAACTTGTGCTTGTGGTCAGTGTGAATGTGAAGAAAGAGAAAATCCTGAAGAAGTAAGTATAAATGTATAATTTCACTAACTTCAATAAACATGTTTTTTAGTGAATGTATAATGTCATCTTATATATTATAGATAATATCGGGTCATTTTTGCGAATGTGACAACTTTTCATGTGACCGAGATCAAAGTCATTTGTGTTCAAATCATGGAACATGTGAATGCGGACAATGTGTTTGTAATGCAGGATGGACTGGTCCATCTTGCAATTGTAGATCTTCAAATGAAACTTGTATTGCACCAGGAACTACTAATGGACTGTTGTGTTCAGGACATGTATGCTTTTTATTATTTTTGCAAGAAACAATTTTGATTGTAATTATTCTTTTATTATTTAGGGAGATTGTATTTGTGGTGAATGTATTTGCTATGAAGAAGGAAGTACTAGATATTCTGGTAAACACTGTAATAAATGCCCAACCTGTCCAAGCCGTTGTGAAGAATTAAAAAATTGTGTATTATGTCAAATGTATGGTACTGGTAATTTTACTGACAAAGAAGAATGTGCAAAAAATTGCAAAGAATTCGTTCCTGAACCAGTTGATACCGTTATACCAGATGTGGATAAGGATGAAGTTCTATGTTTCGGTATAGATGAAGATGACTGTAAATATAACTTTGTTTATTATTACAACGAAACAAATTGTCTAAAAGTTCGAGCTCAAAAAGAAAGAGAATGTCCACCACAAGTTTATATGCTTGGTATAGTATTAGGTGTAATAGCAGCTATTGTTTTAATTGGTCTCGCACTGTTACTTTTATGGAAGTTATTGACAACTATACATGATAGAAGAGAATTTGCAAAATTTGAGAAAGAAAGGATGATGGCTAAGTGGGATACGGTAAAAATTTTAAATTATTTGTGATTTCATAATTTTTTATGTTACAAAATCTTTCATTATAATTATTTTTAAACAGGGAGAAAATCCAATTTACAAGCAAGCAACTTCAACATTTAAAAATCCAACATATGCTGGAAAATAAAATCAATAAATATGATCTCTGCTTAATAGAGGGAATTATTTTATTTCGGTAAATTGTGTTTTTATAAATAAATATAAATTTTTAACTGGTTAATATTTAATCGATAAGTAACAAATTTTATCATGAAGCAAGCAAATGAAGCTTTTAGCACTAATTAGGATAGTTGTTAACATTGTAACTGATAAGTATTTAATGGAATCTGATGTAATACAAAACTTTATCAAATTATTCATTAAGTATGATATAATACTGCCATATAACTTAGACTGCTATGTATGTGTGTGTGAGTATGTGAGTAGGTGTAAATTATGTACACAATGTATACAATGAAAAATTATAACGTATAAGAATGAATATCTGCATGAAAATACAGTAATAGAATGATTTAAAGATTTAAAATCTTCATCTTATAATAACATTTACATAGAAGTGCCTTCTGTCTTATGACAAAAATATTCTTTTTAACATAAAATTTAGAACATATATCACTCTTTTAAAAGACTTTATCCACTCTTATTAAATTGAAATATAGACTATAATGAATCCTGTTTTCAAATATAATATTTATTAAGATTTTTTATACATTACTATGTTTCAAACAAAAAACATAAATAAGGCACATTTTAATACGCGATAGTGTAAGATTTAAAACATTTTTTACAAATATGTATTAACGAACAATCTTTACTTATTTTCTTCTTAAGTCTTCCTGATTCTCATACATATTTTAACTTTTATAAAAAGAATGATCTAAAAATGTATGTAGAACATTGTATAAATGTAAAAAATAGCAAAATGCATAGTAATAAGTATAAATCATTTTGCAATTTATAAGAAATGCAAACGCCGAGATTTTTCTTCAGAAATATTTATGAAACTTTATATAGACAAGAAGGTATAAAATTTGATTGTGTATTTTCTAAATGTATAAATAGAAATGTAGTTAAAAAATTTATTAAAACAACGTAAATTAACATTTTAAATGTTTGAAAAATTAATTTTTTATAATACATTTTATTAATCTTAATTAAGCTAATAGAGTAATTTATAATCTTTACATTTATTTTTATTTATATATTTACTTCTGAATAAAAATTTTTAAACAATGAATTTTATACATATAAACAAATACTATTTTTGTGAAATAATTGTATTTGTATAAAGATTATCTGCTTGATAAATCATAGATATTTCACTTGAATTCTGTCATTAATAACATCAGAAATATCAGTTTATCTTATGACTTTTTTGTAAGATAAAATAAATTAAACTTTATATCATTATGTGTTGATAATATATTTTTATGCGCGCATTTATACGTTGACATATATAGTTTTATTTTCATAAATAAACTAGTTACATATATACGAATTGATTTTGCATTAACATAATTTGCTATTCCTATGAGAAAAAAAATTAGTAAATAAAACAAGATTGAAATTTTCTCTATTTCATTTACTTTTTTAATCTTTTAAATTATTAAATCTGCAGAAATGAAAAGGCAACTATAGTATATTTTTAATCATGAAGTATGATATTTTTGTACTGTAATATTTTATTAAAAACTTATTTATCAATGCAAACAATATACCAACAGCAATTTATTCATAATATTGACCTCGCAACAATAACGTAGTGCAATAATATGTTGTATTGAAATTTTATGATAAACTACGTGATTTTATATTGTATATTGTATTACACGTAAATAATGCAGCGTAATATAGTTTAATTACAAACTTATCTTTACTAAAACATTTCTAACATACCAATCAAGTTATCTTACGATTAAACGGAAGAAAATGATACAAAGATAAATACAAATTTACATTTTGTATGGAGGTCATGACGGAAATAACACGAATCTTTAATTATGTAAACTATAATTATTATTTATTATAAACTATAATGAGTTATGTTCGGGTAGGGATATTATATTTTACATTATTCTTATTATTCATAACGAATGTATATATTTTTTATTTAAATAATTATTACCCTTACAATTACTATGTCTATTATTTAGTCTAATCACTATCTTACTTATGTAACACATTAGTGCAATTAAATTATAATAAATCTAATGTATAATGTTAAAAGAGTACATTCTTCACATCGTAGTGTATGTATGTTATATAATATATACATACATGACTGAGAATTAATAAATTATTTATTATTCTGTAATTCTGAACAATAGTATTATGTAAATCTTTTGATAATTATGACATACACACATAATAAAAGTAGTTAGTTTTAATGTTTCGTAATCCAATCGAATGGTTGTCGAATGAAAAAAAGATAGTCATTCATAAAATATCCTTAACCTGTAGCGTTCGAATTTTAAATATACATGTGTATTCAACTAGTACTTTATGCATTTAACTACTTAATAAAATTTTATTATTATTTCTCTAAAAAAGCTTTTTGAAAATCAATACATAATAATTTCTAATCATTTGTTACAAAAAGATCATAAAGACACAGTTGCTAATTTTTATTTACTTCAACTTATCGAAAAATCATTAACAAAATTTACTCATACAATAATGAGATTAAAGATACTAAACATTGTTTATTGAAATCTAACTTATGTATTAAAAAATTTCTAAGAATAGAGTATTGGATCAATTATAACGTTACTGATATAATAAAAGTGAGAAAGCTTGACCTCGTGTAATTTAAAGTGGAATAAAATGATTAGAGAACGACAGTAGAGCGAAGGCTTTATTAACCAGACAGAATTTGAGTATATAACAATAATATTCTTTTTTTGATATATTTGCGGTACTACTCAATCTAACATTTAGTAGAATTGTTTCATTATTTGTAGATTTATTGAATAATCTTTCAAAAAAGATAAAGTACTGTTTCAAACTAACATACACATGTAGTCAAATATTAACGATTCTTTTTTTGTTAAAATCTATTGGTGTTAAAACTATTAATATATAATCATGCCAAAAACATTTAAACTATCGAGTTACCTAAAGTGTGTTTTATGTGCTACTATGAAAGTGTTGTTTTAATATTTTGTCAAATTTCGTAAAAGGCAAATAAAATATTTTTTATAAAGTATATATATAAGTTTTTAAACTTTTTGTACGATTCTTATGCTTTTCGATTATACATTTCTAGTTTGTTATATTATATATTAATCTTTTTATTATAAATTAAAAATCAGATTATTAAAATTACTCGTATATAAAATATACTATTATATCGCATATTAGCGATATAACTAAAATTTAAGATTTTACGCAGTTTCATTGAACGTTGTCTACGATGTAACGGCGTCTCGTGTTTTAACCGTCACGTGTTTGCAGTAGGTAAAGGCAGGGTATATGGAATAACGTTTGAGCGCATGCATACGTCAGTAGGACGATAACAGATACGTTAGCTAGTCACGAACTAGTATTACCAGAAAAAATAAACCAAAAAAGTGTGTAAGTCAGAAGAAGGTATTCGTAAAACTAACAAGAACAAATGTCAAATACCGCGAGGGTGTACATTTAATCCTTGTATTTTTCTTTTTTCTATTTGTGCTTTTTCCCTTGCTTTGTTCTCCCTCTCTTTCTCTCTTCTCTCTCTTCTCTCCTCTCTCCACTCTCCTCTCTCCTCTCTCCTGTCTCCTCTCTTTTTCTCTATCTCATTCACGTGGCAGTCATTTGTTCTTTGTCGGTTGTGGTCGTAGTCTTAATCTATCCTTTCGTTTATATTCATTTCTATCTTTCTCACTTTCCGTTCTTTCCTCTCTGTTTTGTCAGTCCATCCCTTTCTTTCTCGATCATTCTTTCCTTCTCACTCCGCTCTTCGATGTAAAGCAGAAGAAACCCCCGCGGTTACTCGTTCGTTCTCAAAAGTCTTACTCTCGTTGTCACGCGCTAAAAATACTCCCGCACAGTCTTCCGAGGGTGTACCATGCCAAAGGAGTACGGGAATTAGGACGACAAAAGCAGTCAACGGCGACCTGGAACTGTCATGGAACGGCTTTCGAGAGTGGCATGTTATTTTCGATGGATGAGAAATGCGACAACTCATGATGCAAGTGAAGTGGAGGACGAACGTAAAACTATTGAGGTTGAACGATATCGGAATGTGGGATGCAATTTCGAAGCCCCGAAGCGACTTTGTGGCATTTTGGAGAGTATCCTTTTTTGGGAGAACTCTGTGTATAGTATCTCTGTCGTCATTGTATTCAATATACTGTTTTGGTGAGTCCGTTTAGTACTATAGGATGATATGCGTCATTTTTAAGATATAGTATTTTACATGATTTCACAAAATTTTATTATTTAGTGGTTACTATTTCTCCATCGTGCAACAAACATCCGTTAATTTTTCACCTTTTAGCTTATAATTTTCTAGTTTACAAAATAAAAATCTTTTAATAATTATCGATGCTAAATGATAAGTATAATGTACCGTTTTGATCTACAGTTTGATTGACGCAAAATGTTTCGTTCTTCTTCTTTATTGTAATAAATTTACAATGATATTTACTAGCAAAATTTGCATCTTAAAAGAAGAAATGCAAAGAATTTAGTTGTTACTAAATGCTTTGAAAGTAATTGTCTTCTAGGTCAAGGCTTGTAAAAGCGTACGTGTTTCGGATATCAGTTGTAAATAATAATATGAATGATCAAGCATTCTGATGCTTTGTGTTTTTTGTATATGCTTCTTTGTGATAAGCGTATAAAGAACGTCAATCATATGACGTTATTTACACATACTACGAAAATAAGTTGATATAATCGGTCATTGATTGGTTTCCGCACTTCCAACCAATACGTTACAAAATCTCTTTCTCTGTCTCTTTCTCTACAATTATACTTATTCATGACATTCATATTTACTTTGCCGAATGAATTGCATGTTTTCTGTGTATTTTCCCACCAAATCTATAGTACTATTCTAGATGGCAGTATATGTGATAATTAAAAAAAAATATCGTACGATTGAAAATCGGTCAGATCGATTTTATGTAAATCATATGTTTGCTTCACTGTTGTTAGATTTGATTATGTACTTAATTATTCATACATTTTCTAATAAAATTATGAATAAAATAATATACAAAATTATTATGTAATAATTGTAAGTTTTTATAAATAAAAAGTTATGTAATTTTTAAGTTATTGTTTATACATAATATTAATTGTATACAAATTTTTTCAGGGGTATTATTGTATTAGAAGTTCGTGGCTTTGCTGCAGCCAGTAGTGCTGCATTGGTTGTTGTTCTCTGTTATAGTACTTTGGAAACTCAAGTTCAAAAAGAAAATAAAGCATTGGACATAGCTGCGTATGTGTTAAAATTTGCAACAAATTGTACTTATATACTTATAAGTATTTACATATATAATTAATTCAATTAAGGTGTGTAATATATTTATAGTTCATACGCAAAGGCAGAACAAAGTGAAAAAATAGGAAAGAGAATAAAATCAGCAATTAATAATTTGAAGCAATTGAGAAAAGAACAACCAGGCGTGGTAATCTTTTATTCATTGATTACATATTTAATAATATACAAATATATATATTTAGATAGTGTGTATCTATTCTTATTGTATTTAATAAAAAAGAAGTATAAGATTTAATATATTTAAGGATGCTTTAATTTTGTGAATCACATTTAAAATTTTTTTAAATTATTTCAGTTTTGTGCTGCTGTATGCTCTCTGTCTTTGGGTTTGTGGATTATTGGCCGTACTATAAATGGTGTACTTTTTACATATACAATATGCATGAGCATTTTACTTGGTCCTGCATTATTGTTAAAGCTACCTAGCAAAATGGTATTACATAAAGGTGATTGATACAATAAAATATCAAAAATCTTATTATTATTAATAACAATAAAAATTATGACAATATTAAAATTAAAAATTAAGAGATAATGTAATTAGTAAACTTCTGAATTTTCATCTTGTTATAGAATGGGATAGTGAAATTGAAGAATTTTTACCAGCAGTAACTGAAGATAATCTTCAAGTTCTTACAAGAGCAGGAGAGTCAGGAGATCAGTCTCCAACACCAACAAGTGTATTATCTGATGCTGGTATCATCAAATTATTCAATATTATTAGTATTAGCATTCTTACATATTACTTATTTAAAAAATTGTTTTATACTTATTCAATAAATATTTATTTTATCAAATTTTGAATAAAATATCTTTTTTAATTATAGAATTTTTTAACGATGAAGACCTTATAGGTCTTAAAATGCCATCACATGAAGATGAAAGTACTGATAGTGCAGAAGTTTCTGAATTAGAGCTTAGTGCTGAAGAAACTGATGTGGATGGTATTAAATTTCGAAGTGGCCATTTTAAAAAGGGATCATCTTCTGAAGAAGAAGCAGAACTTGAACCTATACCAAGCAATTTAGCTAGCCATAGTGATGAAAGTGGTAGCGAATTTGAAATAATTGATGGTCATGATGTTGATAACTTAAATATTGCATAAAATGCAATGATATGTAAACTGTGAAGTTGTTATCATAGCAAAATAGAATTAAATCAAAAGTTACTTTTTAATATATTTTAATTGGATAATAATCTAACTGAAGTCATTATTTTATTTTAATGTTAGCTACTTTTTACAAATTTATTTACAAATTTTTATACAATAATAATATAAAATTATTTTGAGTATATTGGAAGAGATCATTTGTTCTTCAACTTACAGGTTATTTTCCTAAGTTCATACATACTTTATAAAAATTTAATAATTCAAATTAAACTGTCTTTTTATATTATGCAAATAATAACTTCTCAGTAGCTACATTGATATATACTTATACTAAGATATATTCATAAAATTGTACATATTATGTGCAAACAGAGAGAATTATCTCAATTTTTATTTTTGATGATATATGATTGATCCTTGATGTATATAAAAAAATCAATTATTAACAAAAATTGAAGCAGATGAAATTGAACAAATAACGATTGTCAATTTAAATATCGCTTTGACCTTCATGGCCAAGAATGGTTTTGTATATATGTATTACACACAGAAAATAGTTTCCTGTGAATTATAATTAAGAAATTAAAAATCACAATATCCACTGTGCAGCAGGTTGAATATAGATAATTATTATCATAGTAAATATTTGCTCCGTTTTTGATATTGCAAAAGTTATATGTAAAAATAGTTTAATTTGTCAAGAATCAGTTATTAATAATGCATACATATTGAAATATTGTTTTATCGTTTGATTAAATTATATTTAGCTTAATTTTTCCAATTCAGTTTAAGTATTAAATAAAGTGTAAATAACGTACATGCATCAATAATATATATTTTATTAAATATAGAAATTTCATATTGAAATTATTTGAAATTTAAACTAACAGAATTGGTTATAATATTTATGAAAAAAAACGTTGCAATGATTTAAAAAAAAAATTCTAAATTAAATTATAAAATGGTACATACTATCTTAAAATTAGTTGTACATGTTTTGCTGTAAGATTGCTATTAAAAATGATACCACTTATGTAAACATAATTCTATTGATAGTATATACATACAAAAATCCATATTAAATTTAGAAATGTGCTGTTAATTTTAACCAAATTTTGCAAAGAGTATTTGACTGTATATCCATAAGTAATGTTTTATTAGTTAGTGAAATATAAAAATGAGCTTTAATGTGTACAAATAATGAACATTAAAAAGTGCTAAATTATTATTGAAAAATTGCGTATTTTAAAAAATAATGTAATTTTTTAAACTAACCACACTTCGAACATTGGAAAAAACTATTTTCTAGTCATAATAACTCTATTATACTACATAAAATATAAAATTATAATACTTGGAGTAATAATGTGTTTAATTTTGTGTAAATTTAATTTATTCTTATAATTCTGTTTTATTTTAAAGTAATTAGTGTGAATGATATATGTATATAAATTGTATACAAATATAGAAAATTATTTTTGAAATTTTCTTGCAAAATTTGAGAAAAATTGATCTATATATATTTTCTTTTAAGTATAACAATTTTTTGTTTAACCTTCACATTTTTATTTTGCATAAGGGATATCATGTTTAAAGTAAATTTCTTAATCTATCTTGAATAAAAACATATCTTTAATTTATTTAAATTATTTGTATTAACTTTTTTTAATGTATTATTCCATTTAATATCCCATATAAATTTATATGTATTTAATACTTAATTTTTTAAATCATGTAAGTGTCATTTTGTTGATATATTCTAAATTCATCTATTTTTTATTCATAATAATATGCATGTATGTATATTAATTGATGTACACATATGTACTTATAAAATATGATAATAAAATAAAGTTAGTAAAAAAATAAAATAATGATAAAAAAGATGTGAGAATATTATATTACTATGGAATTATATATGATACAATATAATATTTATTATTTTACCTACAATATATTCTTGTTATATACATACATTATTTACATTATCAAATTCATTAATTTTGTCTTTTGATTTTACATCATTATTTGTGCCAAAAATATCTTTTTTATCATCATACATGTCTGATGTGCCTTTACAATCTCCTGATGGTACAATTAGTTGTGCATTCTTTCTTTCTGGTAAAACTTGTAAGAATGCTTCTTGCCATGTTTTTCCTTCACTGACTCTAAGCAGAATTTCAAACACTAAAAAGGTTTGTACATATATTATTTGTATACAAAGTTTATGTATTATATTTAACTAATGAATTTTATATCAAGCATACCATGATCAACAGTTAAAACTTTTCTTGCCTTCATACGTAAAAATTTGTCTAAAGGTAATCTACCATGTTTTATTTCAACTTGTACAGCTAACTTATGACAGAGACCCTAAAAGTGTAAATATTGTATAAGAAAATTTATACAAGTTATGAATTTTAGCTTACCTTATGACTATTATGATCAACAAGACCACCAATAACATACACATAATCATGTTTTAGTTGAGTAATAACATTTTCTGATTCGCTAGAAAGATATATAATTTTTTCCTTTGGATAAATATTCAAATAAGATTCCTCGTGAAATTTTACCTATACATAAATTTCGTCAAAGTTAAAATTTGATATGTTTATTATCTAAAAATTGTGTTTTTAAAATATATTATTACAATTGTATTAAAATAACATACATCCCAATGTTCATATCCATTATGCTTCTGCATATCTGCTTTTGATTTTCCATTAAAACTGGTAAGAGAAAATTGCATTGGTGCAATAGCTCGTCTATTCAAGGTATAACATCTTAATATTTGTTTAGTCAATTTTGCAATATCTTTATCAATCATTAAATCATCAAAAGACAAATCAATAGTTACTCCAATTTTACAACTACTATCTGCCATTGTACTTTTTTTCAAAGCTTTCCTAGATGGTCCGAGATCTATATTATTTGCACGAGCAAATGCTCGTTTTTGCCTTGCTTTCTCCCGTTCTCGTAATCTATAACATTAGAATAACAATTCGTAAATAACAATATTAATATTGAATTAAATTAAATTAAATTAAATTAAATTATATTTAATGTAATAAAATTATCAAACATATTATAAAGTCATATAATTCTTAAATATCTATTATAAATCTGAGAAATAAAAACCTTAGCTCAACCTTTCGTTTTAACCATCTTTCTTTTTTTTTTACTTTTTTTAGTTGATGTTTACTTAAATTTGGATGTAATTCCGATAACTTGTTATTTATATTAAAACAAGTCTTTTTTTCACAAATTTTTATGTATTGTGTAGCATTTGCCACTTTATCGATATTAGTTGTATCTTTCTCATTTTCCATGTCTTTACAAAGATAAAGAAAACAAATAGCTTTCCTGTAGGAATCTATTAAAATGTAAAAAATATACCTATCTAGAGAAAATCTTATAACATTTAAACACAGATGTAAACTCATTTAAAAAATTCTAATAAATGTAAAATAGCATTATTTGCTTTATAACTTTTTATATTTATAAAGCTTTATATACTGTTTACATACATTTAATGATACTCCAATTCATAAATATTGTTTATTATTTAATCAGTTATAATTACATATTTATTTTGAAACTTTTTAATGTAATTTAATGTAATAACATATATATAAAGTGATGAATATCTATTTTGAAAAAAAAATAATTTAACATTCAATTTTACTTCAAAAATTAAATAAAAATTATTTTAAATATCTAGGGATATCATAATAGTGAAAATAAATGTTGGCAATTAATTCAATAATCCCTAAAGAATGGTGTCATCTAGATGAAAATCTAAATTATCTTTTCATAGTGAAAGCAGACGATTTTTCACCGCTCAGGAAACGTGTTGATCAGTTTTTGTGAAGTGAGAGAATGCAAGTTATTGGAATTGACGGTCGTGTCGTCGGCTATCTTTTTTGTTTTTTAATACTTCAGGCAAAACTAACGAATTCGAGAACTTCTTGGAGGCTCAGTGCTGACAAAGTCATCAAATCAACGGACTTCATAAGCACCGTTGAGGATGATCCTATTTTCGATATTTTGGCAAGCAGCATTAGTGTTGGAAACGGACAAAGTTGGAGTAAAACGGCTATTTCTGAAAAATATGAAAAAATTCAGCCTTATTGCCAAGATTGCAAAAATGTTGCCTCTGAAAATCATGAACGGTAAGAAATCACGGGAGTTTGATTAATCCTGGGTAAGAGCTATGTGGTACATCTTGTTTCAGAATGTCAAATTGATACTTTTAACACGTTTTGAAACAGTGGATTATCGAGATTTATATTTTTCAAATATAATTCAAGAATTTATAAATGCCTGGAACAAGTTATATTAAGATCTCATGTTTTATGATTTTTTGCATACATGATATGATATTCTAACACTAAAATGATGTATATTTTTGTAATAACATTCTATTTGATTGAAAGATATTTAAAGGTCTGAAAGGATACATCCTTCAATGATGAAATTTTTGTTATATTTTTGTATTTATTTAGTGTATTTTATAATATTAATGTTTAGCATACATATAACAATACGAATGAAATTTTAATTAAATTATATTAAATAACATTGTAGTTTGTATTTAACATTATTTTCTATATTGTATTGCACGTTTTATATTGCATGTTTATTACTATAGTTTATTATTATAATGTATATTTCACTGATCATAAATTTTGGAAAATACAAAAACATATAAAATACTTAAATTATTAAAAATATAGTAAGGTTAAATATTGAAATCGTATAAAATATTCAAATATGTGAAATATGTATGTAATTTTAGTTATTTAAAAAATAATTTGTATAAACTCTTTTATTTATATATTTAATTGTATTCAATTTATATATTTTAGATTTTGTGTTTAATAATTGTTAAATAACGTGATGTAATTTTGTTTTTCTTCCTGTAGTTAGTATTTGTGTGTGGCTTACTGTTCTTTCAGCGTTAAAAAAGCCCTAACTTTGGTCCCCTTGGCAGACGATTCTCGTCATACGTGTTGAAGGATACAACAAATGCCACTGAATCATCTTTTCCTCTACCATCTCAAGTGTCAAATGAACAAATCATGTGTACTTCTGGTCAACAATGTGAGGATATAATTCTAGACTGTGGAAAACCTGTTAATTTCACTTATTATGACAATTTGCTCGGTGTTGCAAATAGAGATAAACATCCATTGGCTCCAGAACCTAATGTAGCACTTATGTTTAAGAAAAATGGTGGCAAAACTGTGGATGTTGACATTGATCTATTAGAGAAACGTTTAATAAAAGCTAAAAGAGAGGTATAAATATTAAGAAATGTTTTGTTTATAGATAAGCAAGTAGTCCCTATATAATATATAAGCTATATATACATATATTTTATAAATTTGTTATAGAAACCAAAATCTGTTCAACTTTACAATCAAATAGGAAATTTTTGGCGTATAAAAGGTGATGCCCAAAGATCAATTGAATGTTTTCGAAGAGCACTTGCTGTATCGCCACATAATGCAGAAGTTTTGTTAAATTTAGCTCGGGTATTATTAGTTCAACGATATTTGGACGATGCAACATATTTAGCAAGACGTTCTTTGGAATTGCAACCTCCAGATCGTAATGCTTGGGAACAATATCTTACACTTGGCCAAATATCCAAAGTAATTAAAAATATTTGAAGTAATTGAATGTGATTAGAAGCTGCAAAAGTGTAGTTTATTTTTCAGTAGCAGTGTATTTAAATATGTATTTCATTTGATTACTCTCATTAATAATATAAATCTAATTACAAGGCAAAAAGTATTCTTTAAACTTGTTCTAAAATATTAAGAAATAATATATCATTACAATGTTTATTCTTTTGTAGGCATATGGTCATTATCAAGAAGCAACTGTACATTTACGACATGCTTTAGAATTAAAACCAGACCTCTGTGAAGCAGCGGAAGCTTTAAGAGAGGTAGAATCAATTCCAGTTGCAAGCCTACATAACTACACATTACTGATAATTATATGTTTGGTATGTAAGATAAAAAGAAATATTATTATAGATATTAGTGCATTTTATGTTAAAACGAAGTGTAAATAATTGTGACACATAATATATTTGAAATACATAATATTGCAGGCACTTGGCGTACTTTTAGTAGTTTCAAGCAGTGTAAAATGTGACGAAGTTTCTAGTCTAGTTAATGGACAACTTCAACGTCCAGTTCAACGTCACTTTAGCCGCGCTATGGCTATGCGAAGTTTACGTCTTAATGTTGCTCGTAATAAACGTTGTTGATTACTTGCTAAAAAAAAAGGAATAATCATGTGACAGAATAAGATTTTCAACTATTGTTATTCATTCGTCTAATCACGAAGTATTATTTGTAATATGATTTTTAATAATTATTTAATATATTAATAATTATGCAATTTATTATAATTATAAATGAAAATATACAATAAAAAGCAATAGTATTTTTCATTTATTACAAAAAAAAAACTGTTAGATAATAACATATTCACGTATTAACTTTTTAAGATGTGTGTATATACACATATACATATTTATTACTATAGTATTTTCATAACTAAGAATGGAATGTTATTTACGGAATTATAAGATATTTTTGTTGTTATGTTAGATATTAACATAGATATTATTAACACTATTACTTAACATCATTTACAATATACAGTGATATTAGAATATATAAGTAATCACTTACTTATATGTACCTACTCATAAAACCTAATGAATTTTTTTATACCTTTAAATAATTTACAGTTGTACATTTAATTTAAGATTGAATATCAGTTCTAAATAATAATTTTTAATATATACATAAAACAATGGATTTCTTTCATTTTAACAAAAAGAGATATGTGATATACTTAATTTTCATTATTTTGACATATAATTTTGCGTTCATTTAGTATAACATTTTCTCAGTTATAATATAATGGTACTTTAAAATATAAAAGAATAATCTTATTGTTAAATAACTTATTTTAATATATAATTTTTTCTAAATTACTATCCGAACTATAAAATATTCAAACAAAATTTTTATCAATATTAAAAAAATAAGTTTTTAAAGTGTAAAGCTCCTTTTACAAATAAAAAAATACAGCACAATGATCATTTTATAATATAAATGAATAGTAGCACAATAATGTATAATATTATTTTTCTTAGTTTATCTATTCAAAATCAAAATTTTATCTAAAAATTGATGATATATCCATAAAATTAGGCCGTGCATTTGCACAATTTCTGTTTTATGTACAAACTGAAATTAATATTAATTAAGATGTATAATTTAATTCATACTCCTTTAAGGGTTTTTACAAAGAGTGTATCCATGCAATAGAGAATACTAAAAATATCTTTAATGTAATTTTTATTTAATACTGTACTAATAATAACACGTTTGTTATTAGTAAAATTTTATATTTGATATTATTAACTTGCATTATTTTTTATTTGTTTAATATACTTTTAACCATTTTTATTGTTTAAACTGTCTTTCTTTTTTAATTTATACAAGACTATTGTATAGATTAAATAATATTTGTTAACTATTCTTATAAAAAATATGAGTATTTCATTCATTTTATATAATTTGTTTAAATGAGAAATATAATATGTACATTTTTAACATTTATAATATAGTAAAAAATACAATAGAGAAAAAATTAATTGTGATTTTTGCAGATTTTTTAGTTCATATTAATAATTTAGAAAATCATAATAATTTTAGTGCTTAAATATTTAACTTAATTTTTGAATAAAATTTGTTATGAAATGAAACTCATAATATAACATATTTTGTAACTGAAGCAGAACACAAATTTAAAAAAATATATAAATACTATATCATAATATAGTAAAAGTATACATAGTTGATTCACTATGCACATAGAAACATCTTTGTCAATAATTACCCTTAAAAGGTACCTATATGCAATATGTACACATATTAAGGTATGTGTGCACACAGTGAACATACAAATTAAAATATGTATGTGTAGTCTATGATTCTACAACATTGCTATGTTAGATTTTAATCTTGTTAAGTTAAAATTGAACCCAACTGGCATTTCCTACAGTTGGTGGTTGTTGACTTTGAGGTTGTGATGCACTAGCAAATTCTCCCCATTCAGAACTTGTTTGGTTTTGATTTGGAATAGGTTTATGTGCCGGAGATGAGGTTGGAGTTTTTGCAGGTGGTGGTGCAATTTTTACACCACCTGGTGGAGGTGGTAAACCCAAATTTGTATTGGCACGCTGCTTTGTTTTAGCAGAAACTTCACTGCCATCCTTTTTCTATATGTCATAAATAAAAACTTTTGTATAAATTATTGCATAATTTAATATTTTAATTTTTATGATAATATCTATTAAAATAAGGAAAAGGTCTTACAGTAATTTTCATGTTTATTTTTATTGTTTCTCCTTCTTTAAATCTGAGATCTAACTCTTGTTTTGGTTTATCTTTTTCCTTTTCTATCTGTTCTTGATTTCTGAGCCATTTGAAATGATCTTGAAGGGCAACATTTAAATCAAAACTATCAGATCTATCCAAAAATCCAACCCCAATAAAAGCTGACCTTCCATTATCATCTTGAATTCTAAGAACAAAATACCGAGAAGAATCTGTGACTGGTTCAACTGCAATTCCTGGATATTGTTCAATTGGACATTTTGCAAACAATTCTCTAGTAACTTTATCTTCTAATTTGATTGTAATCGAATCTCCTTGAGAGACAAGGCGCATACAACCAGTCCATGTGGGTTCTTGGAGATTCCAGTCTGCAGCTCTAAAATATAAAATGATTTATAATAACTGATACTTTTTATATTATTTTTATATTAATAAATTTACATTTAATAAAACCAAAATATTTTAAGTATTTAATATTTAAATAAGAGATGTTTAATATTATAAAATATAAAAATTTTGAATATTTCTATATTTTAAAAAGTTTTATAAAATTTGACAATATGTTATTCCAGATGTAATATTAATATTATACTTTTAACAATTTCCGGTATAACTTTTGCTGACGTATTAAACATTACTATTAAGGCTAATAAAAAGATATAAAATATTAAATATTTTAATATAATGATGAACAAAATATTATTTCTAAAAATATCTCTGTATATATTATTGTCTTATAAAATTAAACATTTTTGATAAAAATACTGTCAAAAATAGTTAATCGTACCGATAACCCCTATTCGTTGACCTTGGTGGTATTTTAAATACAAATACTTCAGATTTTACGAGTAATACACTTTCATACGTATCCATTGTACTTTTGACAAATCACAGAAGAAGCGCTTATATTTAAGAGTTGAACTTAACAAAGTGCTATTTCAAAATTCGTTTATATTTTGTGACAGATCTCTGCCGTGATTTGATAACTTTATCTCTATCACGCCTCCCATCCCCACACAAAGACCGTTAACCATGAATTATTTTACTAGTGATAATAGATTGTCTTCTGCATAGTATATACAACTTACAATTCAAACTAAAGTAAAGAAAATTCATTTTCATGTATTTATTTCATACTTAGAATGTTATATTTTGAATGAAATATTTTAGTTAAACTATTTTAGATATAAATTATTCATAGAAATATTAAAATTATTTTTATATTTCTTACTAATAATAATAAAATATCAAATAGATAATTCATTTTACAAAATTTATATTTCTTTTAACAGAAAATTATCAAAAAAATTTTATAACGCAAATATAATTGAAACTTATGCAAATTATGTTCTATTTTTCTTATTGGTTTATTTTATTTTATATTTTGACAAACGACCAATAACCATGTTTACTAATGTGCATTTGCATATATAGTAAGACCAACTAGTAATACTCGCAAGTAGCCGGGGTTATTTGAAGAATTCTATTAATGTGTTTTTTCAATTTTATTCAATATAATTAACATTTCAATTAAATGCATCAACAAACTATAGGGACATAAGATTTCACGATCATCCCTAATCCCCGTATTTATCGGGGACTCTTTTAGAGGTTTGAAATGAATCAAAATTCTACTTGTTTACAAATTGTATCATCAAATGTTATTTGGCGGTATTTTCTTGAAATAAAAAAATTATTTCCTTGAACATAAATTTAAGACAACACTTTTTCTTCAGGGGTAATAATAAAAGAACAGCTTCAAAATGATGCACAGAAGAGGAGGTAAACGAATACGCATGGATGATCCAGTACCTCCAGAGTATGAAGCACCAATGACTCCAATGACTCCCATGAATGACAATTCAGGGGGTGAAGCACATGAATCTTATTCTACTTATGCACCATATAGCCAGGCACCTCAAACACCTATACATAATCCAACGTAAATACATTTCAAAGTATTTTCATTTATTATCTATTATTGTTTTATATTATAGTTTATATAATATGTTTACTCAGATTTAAATTACAAGTTTATTTAAATATTCAATACTTTTAATGAATACATATACCAGATAATTATGTGTTATAGTTAATTATATTTGTTTAGTCCTGAACATTATTCATCAGAAAGCTATAGCTCTCCAGGTACATCACAGCCACAATATCAGGAACAAACAAGTTTTGAAAATCAGACCCAATTTGAACAACCTATGACACCAGCAACTCCAACTAATATGAGGATCACAAGGAATACACGTGCTAGATTACGTGGTATGATTTAAAATATTATTTTGTTATCTGTTGTTGAATAGTCATTATTTCTAGGAGGACCAATACAACAACCAAAGTATAAAGAAATAGATACAGATTACATTCCAACTACAAGTACTAGAGGAAGAGGAGGTGGTGGACGTGGACGTGGAAAACGTACACATCATTCACATAGTTTAGAAGATGAAGCTAGTCTTTATTACGTCATTAGAAACAATCGATCTTCATTAACTGTATGTTAACTATGTTTAAACAAATTTATGTACATTGTTTGAGTTATAAAAATGATCATAACATATGTATAAATTTGTAGATAACAAAAGTAATAGAGAAAACGCTCTTCTTATGTTAATGCAATTTTTTATTAATGCAAGTGGGTGTAAAGGTCGCATTACGTCTGAGATGCAAGCAACAATGGAACATGTGGCAATTATTCGTAAAATGACTGAAGAATTTGATGAAGTATGTTAATTTTATTTTTTGTAAATAAGTAGCTGTTTCATTTAATTAATAATAATTTGTAATATAGGAAAGTGGAGAATATCCATTGATAATGACTGGTCAACAATGGAAAAAATTTCGTGCAAATTTTTGTGAATTTGTTCAAATCTTAGTTCGACAATGTCAGTACTCAATCATCTATGATCAGTTTTTGATGGATAATGTAATTTCATTATTAACTGGTCTTTCGGATTCACAAGTAAGAGCTTTCAGGCATACTGCTACACTAGCTGGTAAGATATATTGTTACATTTACACTTATATAATCAATTTCATACTTGAAGTACTAATAATACATTTTTTATCTTTTGTTTTATTTTTTATAGCTATGAAACTTATGACTGCACTTGTAGATGTTGCTCTCACTGTATCAATAAATTTGGATAATACACAACGGCAATATGAAGCTGAAAGGCAGAAAGCTAGAGAAAAAAGAGCTGCAGATAGATTAGAATCATTAATGGCAAAACGAAAAGAACTTGAAGAAAATATGGATGAGATAAAAAATATGCTCACATATATGTTCAAATCAGTATTTGTACATCGCTATAGAGATACATTGCCAGAAATTCGAGCAATTTGTATGGCAGAAATAGGTGTATGGATGAAGAAATTTCATCAAAACTTTTTAGATGATTCTTATTTAAAATACATAGGTAATACAATATTAATGTTATAAACTTATATATGTTTTTTAATATTTTAATACATATCTTTCAGGTTGGACATTACATGATAAAGTTGGCGAAGTTCGATTAAAATGTCTTCAAGCATTACAACCATTATATGCATCAGAAGAATTGAAAACTAAACTTGAACTTTTCACAAGTAAATTTAAAGATAGAATTGTTGCAATGACATTGGATAAAGAATATGATGTAGCAGTACAAGCTGTTAAGCTTGTTATTTCAATTTTAAAACATCACAGAGAAATTCTTACTGACAAAGATTGTGAACATGTATATGAACTTGTTTATTCATCTCACCGTGCTGTCGCGCAAGCTGCAGGTGAATTTTTAAATGAACGTTTATTTCGCCCGGATGATGAAGCAGTAGCAGGTGTAAAAACTAAACGTGGAAAGAAGCGTTTACCAAACACTCCACTTATTCGAGATCTTGTTTTATTTTTTATTGAATCCGAACTTCACGAACACGGAGCATATTTGGTAGATTCTTTGATAGAAACAAATCAGATGATGAAAGATTGGGAATGTATGACAGACTTGTTACTAGAAGAGGCTGGACCTGAAGAAGAAGCTTTAGATAACCAAAAAGAGACGTCTTTGATTGAATTAATGGTTTGTTGTATAAAACAAGCTGCTACAGGTAAATTTTTGTTTTTGTATTTCTATAAAATTCTGTGATAAATATAAACGTCCTATAATATTCGAAATAGGTGAAGCTCCAGTTGGTCGAGGACCAACTAGAAAAATTTTATCAGCAAAAGAAATGAAGCAAGTTCATGATGATAAACAACGGTTGACAGAACATTTTATTCAAACACTACCTCTGTTACTTGATAAATATAGAGCAGATCCTGAAAAACTTGCAAATTTACTTGCTATTCCTCAATATTTTGATTTGGATATTTATACAAAGTCTCGACAAGAGCAAAATTTAGATTCGTTATTGAATAAAATTCATACAATTGTAGAAAAAATGCACGACACTGAAGTTCTAGATACAGCTGCAAAAACATTGGAACATATGTGTATAGAAGGACACGCTATTTTTACTAGGTAAGATTTTATGATTGGAAAAATATTGAGCGCTATTTAAAAAAATATTTATTTTTTATGTTTCAATATAGATGTGATGTAGCACGCTCAACATTAATTGATTCCATTGTAAATAAATATAAAGAAGCTATTGATGAATATAGAAATTTAATAGAGGGAAACGAAGAACCAGATGAAGATGAAATTTTCAATGTTGTACAATCTTTAAAAAAAGTTTCAATATTCTATTCCTGTCATAATATGAATCCATGGGGCATATGGGATTCTTTGTATAAAGATATTGAAGATGCCAAAGATCCATCTAAGTAGTAGCATTACATTGTTTGCACACATAGAATTTTTATGCATATAAAAATACGAATATTTTATTACAGATGTCTACCACACGAGGCAGTTAAATATTGCATAAGTGCGTGCTTTTTTTCGATTTTGTGGGGACAAAATCACCTTATGGAAACTGCAGATTCTGGAAATCGAGGTGAAGATGAATGTCGTCAATTAAAAGAACGATTACACTCTTTTATGGGCTCTATGCGTTATTTTGTTAGTGGTGACGTAAACGGCACGGTAATTATATTATTTTTCTTTGTGTATTTTTCTTGACATATTAGTAATACATAATATCCGTTAATATTATTTTAGCCTTCTCCACCCATTTTAAGAGAGGAAGCATACAATACAATATGTGATTTATTGGTAGTATTTTGTAATCAATTAACAACACATTCTAATCCTTTAATGCACCAGTTAGTATATGAACCAGATCAAGCAATGCAAAATATGCTTAATCGGTTTATACAGGAATACGTATTTTTTGACGAAGAGGATGGTATGCTGGAATTAATTCTACTAAATGCATATATATAGTTTTTATAAAAATTTAGTTATATAAAATATACATATTACATTTGCAGATGAACATGATGAACATTCGAAGATTGAAGAATTACATAAAAGGAGAAACTTTTTAGCCGGTTATTGCAAGTTAATTGTATATAACATGATACCCACAAAAGCAGCAGCAGACGTCTTTAAACATTACGTAAAATACTACAATGACTATGGTGATATTATTAAAACCACATTAGGAAAAGCCAGAGATATTAATAAAACAAATTGTGCTTTGACTATGCAACATAGCTTAAATATTTTATATAATGAAATAGTAGCAGAGAAGGGCAAAGTTAATAGAAATAGTGAAGAATTTACTGCAATAAAGGTCTGTTTATGTGTATCAATTTTTTATAATTAGAAAGATAAGAAATTTGAATTGAAATAAAGATATATATTAATATTTTAGGAACTTGCAAAACGATTTGCTTTATCATTTGGCTTAGATGCGGTAAAAAATCGTGAGGCAATTACTGCTTTGCATCGAGCAGGTGTTCTTTTTGCGATTACACCACCAGACGGCATTGAACAAGATCCCACTGGTCCACCACCTAATTTATCTTTCCTTGAAATTTTATCTGAATTCACAAATAAGCTTCTTAAGCAAGATAAACGAGTGGTGTGGGTATAATTTTTACTTTTTAACATTTTATCAACATATTTCATATTTTATCGAGATGTATTAATTCCATATACATTTGTATTGTAGATTAAATTTCCTTGACAGAAGATTACAAGCTGGAATGCCGTCCTCACGGGGTGAGGATTGGCAACCTTTACTTTTATACAGGAACAGCTTATTACATGGCGAAACAGATCAGGTCCCAGTAACGAGTAAACGTGCATATACAAGACGAAAGAAGGATCATTTAGCCGGTAAGTTGATGTTTGAAGTTTATGTTTTGAAGATTACGTTTCAATTGAAATTTTTAACAATTCTTTTCTCAAGTATTAATAAGCAATTAATTTATAAATTCCTTTTATAAATATTAACTGAAGAAGGTTCTGATCATGAGTTTTCTGGGTAAGTTAAGTATTCATACGAAATTAACATAGAATAACATTTTTTATATTTTATTTACTAAAATAATTACAGAAGTAGAATATTTACACATTTGCAAGTAATTTTTATACATAATTTTTAATAAAAAAAATTATACTGAAATCAATCTTTTTAATATATATATCTATATGCAATGCGCTTTATTGCTTTTAAAATACAACTTATGCTATGAATGATAAGTATTTGGAATAGAAAATATAATAGAAAATATTGCAAAATCAACTATTACATTTACACGCTTATGTAGATTTTAATGCACATATGATGTGCACAGATGTGCAAACTCCTTTTAGTATTATTAGTATTTTGCTCACATATTAATGGATGCTAAAACCGTATTATGCATAGTTTAATTACTAATAAAAATATCTTTTTCTTTATTATATTTCATTTTCATCCTGCTTACAATATGCCTTGTTGAAATGTACTATAACATACTGTATTATTATCAAAAATTAAAAGCATAAAAGGTATTCTAAATATGTAAGGTATTTAAAATTATGAAATTATTTTATTAATTTAAGTTTCCTTAAAAACTAATTTTTAAGCAAAAATATTATTTGTGATATAATTTGGAATGCAGTATATTATAAACATATTGCTACTTTTTTTTTATTTTCTGAATGTTATTTACATTTTTTTAATGTGCAATTTGAAAAAACTAGATATCTTTTAATACACTATCATTTATACATTATTTAATATTGCATGCTTGTGCTTAATTTATTAATAAATACTGCCATTAGCGTCTTTATGTAAATTATAAATTTGTTGTGTTTGCATGAGTAGTAATCTTTTATGAATCGCTTGTTGCAGGCTACCTGATCGTTATTCAAGCTAAGACTTAGAGTTTTTAGCAAAATCTATAATATATTATAATCATATAAGGGGCAAAAATTATATAAGGAATTAATGAGGTCTATTATTCTTGGTGCCTGTTTTAAAGTCAACTTTCAAACTAGTGTAAGGAATTGTATGTAATATTGTCAAAATATCAAATTAAGTATCAAACACATACCTAAATATGTAAAGAGCAAATATTATGCGAGGAATTGATGAAATCTGTTATTCTTGGTGCCTAATTTGGCTACTAAAGAACTCATCTTATATAAACTAGTGTAAGGAAAATAAGATAAAAACTGAACAATGATATTATGAAATGATAATATTTTTGGAACACCTGACAAAAAAGTACATAGAGAACGATGTGTGTTCTTTTGAACCTAAGAACTTAAAACCAAGTAAGTTTAAAATACTTTGTATTCTGTTTATATATTGATAATATACAAATTGGTGATAGATACAATGAACATGTGATATTAATTAAAATAAAACCCTCTTCTCCTACGAGTTCCTAAATCCTGCTATCAAAATTTAAAATCCATAGTAAATAAGTAATATTATATTTTGTAAAGCTTTTTCCTCATTAAAATTTGCAGGAAATGTGACAGAATTAACCCATCGTTTCACATTTCCTGCTTAATATCGGATTTTTATATTTTACATTTTTTAACACGCCGTTCTCTATTATCATCGCAATATTATAGAAATGTTTTTAGGTATTTGGTTTGTTCATACTTGGGTTAATTCTGTGTACTTTATTCGTATACTTTATCGTTTCTTCGAATGTAGTGACCAAATGCATTAATATGTATGTATGTGATGTGAAATTTTGTAATACATGCATATGTTCGTATTATATGGAAGATGTATGTGAAACTGCAAAGTTACTTTAACAAATTTTTGTCCCTTTATTTATAATATTAATTCCAATATATTTCCATCAAAAAAACTTTTTCTTTCAGTAAACACAAGAAGAAACGTGGTCCAAGGAAACATCAGTGAGTAGTTTCATTCTTGTTTCCATAATGACAAGTTAAATTTAAATTTATATATTTTTTAACAAAAATAATTCTGTAACATATTGGAACTAAAATATAAACTTATTTATATAGAGAAACAATGTCTATAAACTAAATTTAAATGTTACAAATTCTTTGTAGAATTTAATTTGAATTTTTATTTCAGATTAGCTGTTAATAAAATATCCATAACTCGTGGATCTAGGGCAGCTGGATTTTATGAAAATAACGACACTACACAAATGCAGATATCTCCAACAACAATTATTGAAGATGCATCAACCAGTCCTTCTCAAGATATAGATAATAAACTTAAAACATTGCAAATTCAGTCAAGATCGTAAGTAGCCAATTTTTGCATGGTTTTCTATTCTAACATTATATGTAATGATTCTAGTTATCTCATATTTTCATCTTTTTTTTTAGTCGAAGAAACCAAGATAACATAGAACCAAGAGAATTAAGAAGAACTTCTAGAAATTCTGGACGTTATGTAGAAGGTCAATACATGGTGAGTTATTATAATTTATAATTTGCAACATTAAGATTATTATAGAATAACATTTGACATTTCTTGATCATAGTTTTTGTTTTTAATCTTTAGAATTATTATTTTCGAAATTTTAATGCATTTATCATATTTATATTGTATTATAGCAAATTATTTTAAATTCAATATCAAATTAAATATATTTGATATTATAAATTTCTTCCAAAGTAATAAAACATTTTTTTGTTATAGGAGTCTGATTCTGAATAACAAAGTACAATAAAAAAAAAGTACATTCATTTAAGATAAAACTATTCTAAAAGGAGATGATTTGTGATACATTTATAATACATATGTCGAATCGAGTAAATTTAAATGATATAATAATTAAAACTTATTCTTTATTTTTGAGTCTTTTAAAAATTTTTTTAAATATTTTTATTATTCATGTTACGTATTTTTCTGGAATTTACCAAATGTGTCAAACAATACATTTCATAATTACAATGTTTTTCTATATATAAAACTTTTAAACATTATTATTATAAAATTATTTAATGACTGTCTAAATAACATATAAAAGATAAATATTTTTTGTATACCGTTTGCTTATTTAAATTGCCTACTGTTATATCCTACTTTATATTATTATATTATATTATATTCTACTTGTTATTGTACAATTATTATATAATCTGATGTGAAAAACTTAAAGAAAATACATTTGTTTTTTACAACTATGATAATAATAATTATTATTAAATATTTTATTTACGTACGTAATTAGTTTCATCTGTCACTTGCACTACGGTATCTATGAAAAATGTTACTTTTTCTACGACCTCTTGGAGTAACTATAATATTCTATAAAAATTGTAATTATATACGATTTGTTAAATTTTTTATTTATCATGTTATTAATGTAAAAGTCAAATATAAAGCTAATAAATTATTTTTAAATAATATGTATAACTTACTTCATCATGACGTCGTGAAATAAATAAATTTTTCAATGTACGTGGTGTTGTTGTTGCTCTGTCTTTGTTTCTTTCTCTTAGTATTTTTGAATTTGGACTTTTTAATTCATTACCCTTAAATTTTGAAATATGCATAAAAGATTAGCTTTTAATTTAAATATTTATTTTGTGATACAAATATTAATATCACATACCTGTAATGATAATCTTCCTCCATTTTTACTGGGGGTTGGAGGTCCAGGTTTTTTATAGGATATCTGCAAAATATATATAGATAAATAATGGAGATTGTAATTATAAATAAACAGATAAAAAATGCCCTTGTATATGAAGTTAATATTTTCACAGTTGATTTAAATTATAAATTTTATTTTTATTAAAATTAATTACAAAAAAGTGTATTTTATTTTCTACACTCATTATTTGTTTAGTAACATTAAATATTATAATTACATACCTGAGTTCTATCTTTTTTCTTAGTTTTTTGTTCAGGAAGTAAACTCTGACTTAAGCTATCATTAAATATTTCATCTGGCAGTGAACCTGTCTAGAATCAAATTAAAAACAACAAAACATATTCTTATATGTATATAAGTTAAATTAATAAGAAAATGAAAACAAATTAAGATGAATAAGATTAATTTGTAAAATTAATAAAAAATAATACAAATAAATATAAGTCACATATATTTATCGTTACAATGACTTACTTTAATTTCTTCTTCTGTAAATGGTAGAGGATGAAATTGCATTTCAGCAGGGTAAGAGGATTTCAAATGAGGTTTCCATAGAGCATTTCTTCTTTTTAAAGTAGATAATCTATCTGCATCAATGCTGTTCAAAAAATTATCATC